AAATATAAATAGAGAAAATGTATAACTATCTTGTTATTTAAGTAGAAATATATAAAATGTGTTTTAGCATAAATTACACCAATAGCTTTTAAAAAAATATTTGTTATGAAGTTCATCAAGTTTGTCCTAAGATCTCATTATTCCGACCAGCCGTGACAAGTCACTCGGTACTGACATCTGTAGAACTTTGTCAGGATGATTTCGGACAAGTTTTAAAAGTTGACACGGCTCTGAATAACGGAGCGAGTCTCGTTAAGTTTTGGTTATCGTTATAATAATGACGGCACTGTTAATGTCATTTGGATTTTGAGGATTATTACGCACTAATTGGATAGCAAGTTTGATGGATGGCTCTAGTTTTTTTATGTGATAGGTGGCAAACGAGCTAACGGCTACTTGATGGGCAGTAGTCGCAATCACCCATGGAAATCCGTAATTTATCTGTTGTGTATGTATTGCCAACCTTAGTTTTGGAGGAAAAGGGAAAGATGGGAATAAGGAAATGACAGGAAAGTGTGGGAATAGGGAAAGGGCAACCGGCTCAGTCATTAATGACTACTTCACGCTGATTTTTTATGACAGGGTGGCACTTCGTCGGCGAAGCCAGCTCATATTCGAGCTGTAGTTACTTGACCACGGCTAGTGGTGGTGTTAGTGGCTCTACCACCTTTAATCTACTTTTATAATGTTAACTTCAAAGGAAATCCTGATTTTTTATGGATCGGGAAGCGTCGTTTGAAATCACTTAACGTTATCTGTGAGTACACTGAGGTTTCGTCTACATAGCAGCGGAAACCTAACGAGCCGCCCCGAGTGAAATTTACCCAGTTTTATAGCTGCTTTTATAAGCGGAGGCGCAAAGTCAGCTTTGTCTCTGGTTTAAGTCACGAGCTCATTACTACATACATTCTTTTATACAATTTTTATGTACATTTTTAGTACACTATTCTTTGTTGTTTTTGTATAAAAAAAAAATAATAAATTAGAAGAACTTACAAGAAAAGAAATCTTCTCCATATGAGAAGAGGCCTTTGCTCAGCAGTGGGCTCTGATAAGTTAATGATGATACAAGAAAAGAAAATATTGTTGTTTTCATATTCTTAATTAGTATTAGACCAATATTATAAATTAATATACTGATGAGAATATAAACTGGAATATGAAAAATAACGATCTAATATTCGCTCGTTCTTGTGCCATAGTACTCAATACCTACAATGCCAAGGTTACTATATAGTGGCCTTGTGACTACGTGCCTTGAATCTCGGCCGATATCTGTGTACTACGATCCTGATACGGACTGTTTGTAACTAAAAATGTTTTATAAGCAACTCTTAATCGTACTATTGATGTTTTAGACTTTATTATTTTTCGTGTGACTAATTTTTTACTGTTAAGATTCTTCTCAATCAACTTATTTTTTTTGTTTTCTAAATATCGTTAAATTAAATATTCGCGAGAAACGACCAATTCCTATATAAGAACTCGTCTACTTTTGATGTAATTATTTAAAATTTACAATCCTCCAGAGAACAGATCAGATTCTTTCACGAAAATACCAGTAAGTCAATAAAGATTACCATAGACGAATATGTTAAGTCAGAAATTTGATTTAATAAACAAACACAATAGAAAATTATTTCTACATTACATTAAATAAAAAGAGTGCTTTTATTTTTCTGCACTATAATCTTAAATCAAGTCATTCGCTTCGTTCCTTTACGCTGAGTTTACCGGGAGTACGATATTTCTAAGTAAATATTACTTGTAAATGACAAAGCTCTGTACAATTTTTACTTTCACGGTATTTTGCTCGAACAAACACTAGCTAGAAACAGGTTTTAAATTGATAAGGTACTTATGAATAGTCAGTATATTGACTGTATGCTTAACCTACAATGAAAGTTCTCTCTCACTCTCTTTTTTCTCTCTGTCTTTCACTCTTTCTCCCTCGCACACATTAACACACAATTTTTCTAACCATTACTCTCTTCTCGTCCTTAATTTTAACACTTTCTTGTTAACTTTATTTAAAAAAAACATCATTGAAGTTGACTGTAGTAGTAGCATTTCACAGGCCATTAAAAAAATGCACCTGAAATAGATTTACTACCATCAAAATATAGCTGAATTAAGAAATAAATAAAAATATCAAATCATTTCTTTATAGTCGTTTAGTTTAATAGATGGTTATAGTTATATACGTATATATATACTTGCCTATTTAATGTTATGCCATTACCCTGAGAGGAAGATCCCCCGACACAGAGGTCTCATTACAAACTCAACTGTTATAAAATACATTACACATTCTAAACCTATCTCTATAAACAGTATAATATATACATGTATATGAAAGTAGACTACATGTTGTAATCATTTAACATGTATTCTATATATTAGTATCAAAATATACTTCGTATAAATATATAACAGTCCGTAAAAAGCGTATCAATGATTATATATTTACTAAGTAAATAACAAATTAATTGATTTTATGCCAAGAAAACATAAGTTTAAATGTAAAAAATATTGAATAAGAGTTGATAAATTTAAGTTTAACTTGTAATTTCTTAGAATATCGACTTTTAAGACAAAGACAGTGTACACAAGAAGCCCATTATAACTTGATATTACAATCTAACTTATTTTTTACGATTTTTGTTTGACCTTTTTCAACATTATAAAATTGTAAACAGAGAATTTACAGTGAAGGTTTGTTTCAAATATATATAAATACATAAAGAATAAATAATATTATTAAATTAGCTATTTCTTCAGTATATTATGTTTATAAAACACGAATCTTTTTGATATATACTTTTTTTCTATCATCAAATTAGCCTCATCTTTAAAATAACAATTATATCGTATTTCAAGGAATCATTTACAGGAAACATAAAATGTTTTCTTTCAATCTTCTTTACCTTTTTATATACATAGATATTTCATTTATACAGAACTCAAATATTTTATTAAATTAATTATCAAACTTTTAAATGAAACTAATATTTTTGCATTAATGAATGTTCATCTCGTCTGTCCGTCACGATTACTGCAAAGTAACCGAAATTTCGGGAGTATGTAGTTCAAAATAATAATAATATTATTTATATTTAAATAAATTCTCGCTAAAGTATTAGATTTCATTATCAAACTGAAATAGTTCATCTAACTACAAGAAATATCCCATTTATAGTATTTGTAAAGTATTAATATCATAATAATATAAATTCCTTTCAAATCTTAATATTATAATCTCTGACGTCATATTTATTATCTGGAAAGTAAAGTTGGGTTTGTGTTAATATTTTGCTAAACTAATTCAGTGGGTCAAATCGATGTTAAGTTCCTTAACAACTTTTGAACAACTACTAAGGTTTGAGGGCTCGGCTTGTAATTTAATGAGACGGTTTAATCTTGAACAGACCATTAAAATCATATCAAGATTTCTCTTCAATATGTGTGATATACATTAATTAAAAGCCGTACTAGCTGATATACATATTACACATATATTATATCCTAGTAGATATATGTATATGTGATTATTAACCAAACAAAACTTACTCGACCGTAAAATGATCAATTAGGGACAATATTCCCTGGCGTGATTATTTGGATTTAAAAGATTTTTATTTATTGCTATACGTAGAGGAATTAATACAGAATAATCATTTAAAAAACAGTAAATATATCAAACAAATGTTACTATAAAAATTTCTATTGAATTTCGAATAGTAAAACCAACATCTAAAACTGAAATCAGTCGTTGAATAAAATAAGAAGTGAAGCGGACGGGCTGCCTCATGTATTATTCACGTATCGGTGACGCTATATACTATTTGAACATAATAACTCTTAAGTCCTATAAAATAAGTCTCATTTTAAATCGCCACACACACAAGACGTATGTTCTCATACACTCAGGTGAGCCGGTAAGTTATGACATATTATTATTTGATATCGTACGGTGCGGTTTGTTTTTTATATCTCTGAAACGCAATTTATTCACATGTCAATATTACTTGTATGTTAATATTGTAGTGGGTAAACGAATTATAAGCAAAAGTAACGAATATATATAAAAAAAAGATGCTTTTAAAATTGTTGAGTCAAAATGTACGTTGTAACCTGGAACGGCTTCACTTGTAACGAATGTAAGTGACGTCACACTCCTTGTATATGAAAATTTAAAAGGAAAAAGCATACTATACATATAGATACTATGAAACAAATAAAAACGACGTCCTCACGTCTGCAAGTTAAATATAGTATTTGTATTCTATTCAGAATCATCAAAAGTATAAATTATAATAATTCTAGTTATAGAATGGAAAAAATATGTTCTATATTTAATTCACATATTTTAAAGTAAATTATTATGAAAGAATATGATAGGGACTTTTATATTTCATAAATGTTATAAAAATGATCCGTTGGGATATGTGTGATGTAAGACAAATGTGATGCGATGAAGCTTTCCCTTCGATGAGATACTTGAAGGATGCTACTAGATATTACTGATATATAGATGTGTAATATTGAAGTAAAGTGTAAATATATACACTAGCTTTTGCCAACGACTTTGTCTACGTGACATCAGAGTTGTTCTAAGAAAAAAAATGTACTCGTATAAAGTGTTTTATAAAAATACACATATAATAGTAATTTACCTTCCTTTTCATTTTAAATAACTTACATACCTACTGCAGCGAAATAAGTAAACTGGTATTTGAATCGTAACCCTCTGGGGCGCCTCCCAAGTGCATACAAATAAAATCAGATGAATCGGTCCAAAAGTTTAGAAGGAGTTCAGTGACATAATATACATGTAGAGTGGAATTATATATAATTATATGGACATACATGAAGATATTGTGAAACAGATACTTTACTAGTTACTTAGAAATTATTTTTACATTTTGGATATAAACTTTAAGTGACGTCGTAACTTTGACCATAGTGGTCCAATTCAATAGCATTGAAAGTTGAAAACAATGTCTGCCTTTGATAATCTTTTATGGTTGAATGTTCTGCTCCATATTCTGTCAGAACTTAACCGCAAAACTGTTGGTATGGCTTTAGAATTAACCGACCATTTTCCGGTACACTATATGATAATACACGCCAGAGACTATAGGCTTCCCACAGACGAGGAACGTGGACATTTGGTGTGTGGCCAAATATGAAGCGACAAATTAATTATAATCTTTATTTAAAGTCATGTCGTTTTATAATTAATTTGTATGGAGGTAGGTGTGAATATCGATATATTTAACATGAAATTTTATACAATTCACATGACCAATAAAATGTTAGATTTTATATCTGAAGCGCATTATATTATTTTAGGTCGAATTGTCGTAGCAGCTCTACGACACCCGCTACGACTTCTGCTACGACTAGCGCTACGATAATTTTGTTGAGAATGTAGCTTAAAAGTCGCGAGGCTTGAAAATTGAGCTGATTTCATTAGTAAAAAACAAAACTGGGAGGATTTGTTATATCTGTACTAAAATTATTATTTTTTTCTTACTATTAGAATCCGTTATAGCCTGAATGTGACAGGATATTTAATATATACATACATACTTAATTATAAATTTATAGTGTAAGATATTATTTGTCAATATTTTTTTGTTCGCTTAATATTAATATTCTAATGTATACATATTCATTAATTTAACATTTGCCTTAACGCCTTTCATACAATGGAACGATTAAGCCTCAAAGATCATTTCTTGCACTTTCTTAGTTATATCATAGACAAAAACAAAAAAAAACTAAGATACTTATCCTGTATACTTAGAATTTAAGCTTGAAAAACTCAAAATAATAAAGAGCTTGTAATTATTTGAAAAAACTTTTCTTATAATATTGTAAACAAAAATATTAGAAAGTGAATGCCATCAGAGGACAATTTATTTCCCTGAAGTTCAAGAAGTTTTAAAATTGTTTTCAACGGACCTACCGTCGATGCAGTGAAACAATTCCTTTGAGCAACAAGACTTCCTAAACAAAACTCTTTGTGTAATTATCTTAAACAAACTCTTATCTCTTTACAAACGGACGAATGAAGATCACCACAAGAATGAAGAATAAAACATTATTATTTTTAATTTCGTGATGGACAAAAGCAATTTTCTCTGAAAGGAAACATTTTGGGACGACTAAAAAATATTTTTGTTAAGATTTTTTTTACTAAAAACATTGATTACTCTTACATAATTTTTTTTCAAGCTGGAACATGGAACTTCTTTTATTGGCTTGTTATGGGTTATTATGTGTTAGAAAGCTGTTTTTCGGAATTCTACATTGCACAAACTACTCATAGTTGTGCTCTTCCCACCGCTAATAATTGGTCAAAAGATGAATTAAAAATGAGAACTTATTTAATTAGCTTATATATCTAATATTTAAAGATTTGGCTTTATAAAGTAAAATTCCGAAAATATCTTACAAGTCAGCCTTTGATGTATAAATATCAATGTTCACGAATCGAAAATAATAATAAGTTAAGAGGAAAGTTTAAAATGACTTAAACATTTCGATCGTTGTCTGGAATATCCCGAAAATATCCACGAGCTGAGGGAGATTGTGGTCAATGTTAATAGTATTTTCCCTCGTCAAACAGAATTGACAAAAGTTAGTCGATACAAACGTTGTAACAAAAAGGACAAACTGAACAAAATGTCGCAGAACTGGAATATTTGTTGCTATTTTCCTGTAGAACTTGGCCACTATATGAGTACATATTATTTTACATTTGAACAAAATTACGATAATCGTTTTAGTTTTGACAACGTTCATTAATATTTATTGTATTGTTGTATTTCACTATCATTAAGACGATATAAAAAGAATACACTATTTTTTTTTACTTATTACTACAATTGCGAAGTTAGGTTTGAAGACCAAGATTTCAAATAAAAGTTCGAAGATAGTAAGAATATTGGTTTTTATGATACCGCGACGTTTTTTTCAGTTATAATATAATATTATTTTTGTCTTAATTATAATGAAAATGTGGTGTAAAGAACGTTTAACTGCTTCAATAAGTTTCAATTAAACGGATAGGTTTGGATTCCAACATACGTGCCTTTATATTAAATAGTATTTAGACACTACTGGCAGACGGTGAATTTGAAATCATAAGTTTGAAATCACCAACCCGTCTTGATCAAGCGTGATGATTAATGCTCAAACCTTCACCATATGAGAAGAGGCCTTTGCACAACAGTGGGCTCTGATAGGCTGATGATGATGATATTACCGAGCAACAAAAAATTGTTGTAAAAAAAAAAATACAATATGTTTATTTTGTGACTAATTATTATAAACATAAGGCTTTTTACAGAATATTCAGAAGAACGTAAAAATTTTATTAATAAATTATAAGGAACAAACTAAGTATTCTCGTTGCCTGTAAATAAATTACCTCGTATTATGGAATGATCCATCTTTCTTGCGTTAATGCTTTTTTACGGTCTTTTTACTTTTCCCCGCTCTGGTTAGAAATATAACAATGTCTTTCATACTTATTAAAATTATACTACTTTTTCCTCAAAAACAAAGGTGAATTTGAATGTTCCATTACATTTGTCTTTGAATTTATTATATTCATTTCTATTGTTATAAGCAAAATTTTTGTGTATAATACGAGTACTAAGGGAGTAGTTGCTTGAAAATTTTACGTATAAAATTTAAATATAAGCTTATTTTCGACTCCTAGTATCCTAATATTACTTTAGAGAGGTTTAATTGCAGTATTAATATTTGTATAACGTTGTTACAGAGTCAACTGTGGGACGAGTTCGAACTAGAAGACGCGACGTATGCGGAGTGTAGCACAAACAACGCTCAGAACAGCTTTCAAGTTAGTTAAATGATTTATAAACTATGTTAAATACTATAAATAGTACATTATATATATGTTTAGACATAGAAAATTTAAGTTACTTAAAATATTATATTACTTCTTTGATGTAGAACAAAAAAATGTTCTATAAAATGAGAACAATACAGCAATTTTTCTTCTTATTTGGAAATTTTCCAGAAGTTTTGTCAATTGGTCTATTCATAGATTTTTGAGTGCTCTCGCTACATCACAACTAGGCCACCTCGTTTCGTCTTTGCTTCAGCAATTTCCATCTTGGACAAATGATGAGCTACTGCAGTTTTCGGCAATATCTATCTTACACTTATTTTAGATATTAAACATTAATATTCATAATTCTTCCAAAATTTATACGTGAAATTCTACATTTCGATTGGCGATCAAGCAACAAAATTAATCAATCCACATTATCATAACAAAAGAAATAAATATGTTGTTACATATTCATGTTATTGAATACTGAAAGCAAACCATTGTAATCGTTAAGGCATGTTTAAAAATGCATTATTATGCAAAGTCTTGTGAACGTGAGGTTTTGAACTCACATTAAAATACTCTTTAAGGAGCACGTACAATAAATGTATTGATTCAAAATAAAATGGTCGGTCATCGATAAAATATCTTTTTATATTTACATCGTAAAATGGGACGGAAGGTTTTGTCGAAATTGCCTTTTAGGTAACAAGACGGCAATCATATAGAGTACGTTGTATCTATACAAAAATCAATTCAAACAATTTTTAAAAAGCTCTTTTGTAATGTCCTCATTTTTAAACTTTAAGTATATTTTGTTCAGTGAATTATTGAACAACACTTTAATATCTTAATTCAGAATATTGAAGATATGTTTGATTATAATTAAGTTTTTAAATTTTTAAGCCATGTTAGCACGTGCATAGTGAAATGTGATATAATTATAGATCGCCCCTTAGACGTAAATAGGTGAAAGCTAACTTGAATGTTTCACAGTTATATAAATAAAACACTTAATTCATGTACGCAATCTGTTGAAAGAATATAAAGATTGTAGTACATTAACAGTTTTATGTAAAGCATCACATACATAAAAAGAGGAACTAATCTCAAACTCTGTAGTTTGTGTATCTGTGTATAAAATAAAACGAAAAACTTCTTGTTAGATTCATTTAAGTTAACATGAAAAACTTCCCCACTGAAACTAACAAAATTTCATGTATATAGATATGAAAGATAGTAGCTTGATTATATTCCTAAGACATATTCTATAGCACAAAAGAGCTGCTTAGGCTGCATAATTATGGTCCAAGAATGATTACTATAACTTATATATTTAAATATGTAAGCAATATAAAATAGAATTTATAATATGAACATGAAACACAAATTTATAGTCAATTCATAGATACACTCTGTATAACTATTTGACTTCAACACAACTCCAAGAGGCTTTGCGTTAGTTCGTGTAGCTTGTTTATATACTTAAGACAGTTGCACTGAGATATAGTGCGTTTGATTTAAGCTGAGCTTTGCATTTGTGTGAGTGCACACGGATAGTGTAGGTGTAATGTCAAATTTTTGAATGCCACGTTCTTTTCTAGTTTTGAACTGGTGTATTCGGCCTTTTCTCCTACCCACACCTTCCGCACTTCACCCTTTGTACTGGTAGCAAAATCAAATGTTGAAAACGCAATGTCAAGTGAAGAAGAATTTGTATAGTTTTTCAAAATTTTTATTACTTAATAATAATTTTTCTATAATATTCATAATATTTCCATCTGGCTTTTAACAAGTTTTGCTTATTTTAAAGCACTTATGTATCTATTTAAAATATAACAATATTGAATTCTAAAAGGTTTTTTTCTAACTCTATTTTTACTTTCACTCACACAAATGCAAAGCTCAGCTTAAGTCTAACGGACTATATATATATATTTAAACCTTATGATATGTTATTCCAAAAAATAATAATATAATAACCATAATAGAACTATAATCTCGATGTCTCTGGCCTCACTTTTTATATATTGAAACAGAAATGAGTACTGAATTGGTATTTTAATGTTGTCCTTTATCGCGTTGCAATGACAGTTACTTAGTAATACATAAGCTGTTTACATTATTTATAAGCTCTTTGACATTACAGCTTAAGTTCTTTCATTGGTCGTATTTTTTTCACTTTAAGCAGACTGAAACTAAAAATACTGTCCAAAAAAATTCTTCGGAAAAAACAAAGATAAGATAAGATTCAAGTTCGTGTTAATATTAGTGTGTAGCGCTGTTCCTTGACATTAAACCTGTCTAGACAAAGATATTGTTGAAACCAGCGAGTGTAAGGCAACGTGTGAATCAGACGACAATGAGTTGCGACAGTAACTGACCTCAATAATATCCAACTTCATTTAATGGGTCACGAGGGTGAACGGAACCGTGTGTGAAGTGAAGTAGGTTTAAAGTAAGAGCAACTCTTATAGTCTACGAGCTACTTCGAATATGCATCGCCTTTTAAAATCTTTCTTTTTTTCTTTTTGAAAAAAATCTTGCTAATGTTGTCAAGAAATACCGATGTGTTTCCTGAAATCGTTTAAGCAATTCCATTAACAGCTCAAGGCTTTCGGAAATAGCGTCAATATTAGTTTTGGCTACCAAAAAGGCACGAAATAGGATTGTATTACATACAGCGCTGCTAATGATGTGTATATGTATCTGGACATTAACAATACCTTTAAATGAACCGCTCCTACAAAAAACCGGAACCCTTTCTGAAAAAAACTCGTTAGATTAGCGACCTTAATTTGAAGAGACCGGATACGACGCCCGTTTTACCCTTCTAAAGTAATTAGATTGTACTTTTTTATACATATATTTACAACCTGTGTACTTGTAACTCCTCCCGAAGCCGCACCAACATGACCGCCTTAGATGTCAGATGATGATACAAACACTTCTCTTTTTCTTTAAGACTTTCGCGAGTATTCATTTAAATGAAGCTAATATTTTTCGGATTATACTAAGCGTACTTTATTATTGTACAAATCTTAATACTTTCGAGGTTTCGGTTATTTTTCAGCAACCGTAATCACGGGTAGACGAGATTTACCCGTAGTTTCATTAACATCGATTTGTGTTAGTGATGATTGCAATAAATTTTGATTCCCAATAATATAAATCTTTGTATGTATTTATCGATTTGCCGACAGTAACGGGGTTAATGTATTTCATACTTCACATAAGACACCCTCCGTCAACAGTGTGGGGGCGACCTCATTAGTATGACCGGTGTCATCAGCATATTGGGTACGAAGGGTTCGAACCCTTTGACCAGACAAGAGAGGACAAATGTGAATGACGTGCGATGACATTATACTCGTATATTTGGAATTATTTTTTCAGGTTACGAGGATTATGTTACAGCAATGTATGTATAGTGAGGTGATGCCGTCACCTTATTTAAAAAGTACGTCTCTAAAGCAAAAAAATATTTTTAATAACATGTAACAAAAATACAATTTTCAAATTATTGACCAAAATTATTGCATAAACGAATTATAAACGTTTCACAGCCAGTAATTAAATAAAATAATAGGTCTTTTTATTTACTTCATATATACATATACAGTAATACCCCGCTTAACGCGACCCCGTTGTGCGCGGTTTCACTATAACGCGATTTTCAAAAATTTATTCAGATTGGGACATTGCAGAGTATAGACAATAATGATGACCGTGTCTTGAACGTGTGTCAAACAATTAAAAACAGTGTTTGGTGTTATGAACGTATTTTACAAGAACGTAAACAAAACGCTACCCAAAATACAATACATGTATATTTTCGTAAAAAATAGGAGTACCTATGTATTGTATAGTGTTCTTAGATTTAAAGTGATTGATTAAAATGATTTTTATATTTGTGTATTAAATTTTGACTGTGTTTAATCATAAACCTCGATATACGCGAATATGAGTTAACGCGATTTTCTTCGGAACGTATCCCTCGCGTAAAGCGGGGTATTACTTACTAGTTTTTATCCGCCAATCCGTCTGCGTTAGTTTCAGATTTAGAAATGTTTAGCTGACCAGGCGAACTCTATTCCTCCTTAAAGACAGTAGATAAGAAGATTTTGGATGTGATCATATAATTATTTTTTTCTTTTTCAATCGAATGAAAAATATCTTATTACCTTTCCCTTGTTCTTAGCTATCTCTCCACTAATTTTCATCCAAACCCGTACAGCTGTTCTCGAGTTAGAAATAGTGAAACTGACACAACTTTCTTTTATATAAAAATATAGTATAGATGTAAATAATAGTATGAAAACAAAAAGTGCAGCTGTGACGCAAGCTATGCCGGGAAAATTGCCCAGAGGGCAGACACTATTGTTCCCAGTACACTGACTAATGGAACATCCATTCTTTCCATTCAAGAGATATCGAATTGAAAATATTACTATCTGAAATTGAATTATTAAAAATGTTTTATGTGACATCTTTAATATCTTTGTTATTTAACTGAAAGTATAAAAGATGAAATATATTTAGTACGTCGAGGTTCACCGTCTCAAGAATCAGGTCAAATATTATAGTAAACAAGTCGGAATAAAAAACACAATACATCAATACAATGAACAATTATAACGGAGAGGTACGAGTGCTTCTGTGACAGCCTTAGAAAATGTAAACCTTTTTTAGGCTATTGTGATTTATGTAAATCCAACCTTTTATATTACTAACGACAAAGAAAGAACGAGCTATAAATATAAAAGTACTTAACGTTACATTACCTTCACAAATATAATATATGTATTGTACTTAAAAAACTGACTTTGTCGAAGTTTTCTATTCAAAACATATTGAATCAATGATTATAATAAAAACTTTTGATCTTTGAGTTACCAAAATCCTCAAGTTAGGCTCTCTTAGAAAATAGTGAATAATTTTTTCGAAATTATTTTCATTTGGCTTCCATAACACGTAATATATTTTGTTCTGTATTATTGAAAAGAAATAAAATGTTGTAATATCAGAACTAAATTTAGTTTGTTTATCAAGTTTTTGTTTATCAATTGTAAAAGTTTCATTATTTAAACATTTAAACGACGAGAGTTTTCTTATACTTTAACTGTTTTAACCTGCAACTATTTTTGGATGAACGCCAATTGGGTCCAAAACTTTCTGAAGTTATGAACTTAAGCAATAAAAATGTTTACCCAATGAAGAATAATGATATAACTTTAAAGTTATTTGCTTACAAACGACTCTTATTTAAATTTTAAACAATTTTGTACCTTGGGTTATTTAAGTAATAAAGTTTGTAAAAACACGTTTGATTTGAATACTAAAACTACATCTCCATCAATGTTCATATTAGTAGTATATGTATATACTAGCCACAAAAAAGCATTAATATCTAGAAGTCTATAACAAAATCAATCATTTCCCAATCAATTGAGTATCTCACGAATAAAACATGCATTTCCATTACCCTTTTGACGTGAAAGAGCCAAAAATACATACGACATTTTATCATATTGAATTTTCCGAGATAGCTTCATGCTAACTCAATAAAATGTATTTACATGGTCCATGTTGTAACAAATTTGTAGTTATATTTGTTAAGTGATATGCCGAAGCAACATTATGTAATAATAAGAACCCCTTCTCAGAACCAGATAATCAAATGCGAGAGGCGACCTTCGTTGATGAGATTATCTTGTATCTCCGTAACTAAATTTAGTTTTATATATTCAACTGCGACTGTAGCACAAAGGCGCTAAAGGTACACGGGCGTCTGCAGAGAATTTCTCGGATTCGATTTCCTTAACGGCAAATATTTGTTTTAATGAATCTATATTTCTCGAGAACTGAATATAATTTTGTTTTACTATCGAGAAAATCTAAATTATTTGACGACACATTTTGTATTAAACTGTCCATAAACGTATTGTAGGCCTGAAAAGAACCGAGCATGGTTTTTGGACTTATATTTATTATTTTTGTTCTAAACACTATGTGTAATTGATATATTTATAAATCATCTTGTGTTTAAAATTATCAAACTTATTCCTTGCCTTTTTTAATAGAATCGCTAAATTTGTTTTTAGCAGAGGCTTTACCTACCGGGATTTCAGTAATGAAACCAAAAGTAGCTGATAGGATTAGACGAAGGTAAACAAAAGCTTGAAGAAGGGAACTTAAAAATTTAATTTAAATTAATTCAGTATTTTAACTTCAATAGTAACCAACAAAAAGATAATCTTTTTTATATAATATTAGTATAGAAAAGTTAACACAAACTCCAACCTGTCTTTATGGATTTGCAAAACTTCAAAAAGGACTAAAAATAATATGTAAAATAAATATATATAGTATAACATAGTGCATTTCATTTGAACAGATAAATATTTGTTTTAAAAATAAACATAAAAGGCGGACCTTGAAAGTTGTGTTATGCGTTGTTTGCATTCCACTGTTCTGAAAAGACAACACTTACACGTCCACTGTACAGTTTTCCAAAATATTTTGCTTACAAACAAGCTCTCTAATTACGGCACGTTTTACCAGCTATAATGGGATATGATGTTTGTATTCTGGGTTTTGAATTTTTGTGTGGGTTAAAACGAACGGTAAACTGTTTGGTTCATAGTTTACAAAACATGAATGACGGTGATAAGGAAAGTCAACATTTTATGAGAATAAAATTTATTATAAATAGAGGATAGATAGAATGATGGAAAACACCGTGAATGAGGTGCAGGAAATTGAAGGAAATTTTTGATCCAGGAGCGCAGCTGACTGAAATTTATTAAAAGCAAACGGTTATCTTGATGTAAGATAGCAACAGCGTACCTAGCCTCAGGTACACTCCGTCTTCAGCAAAACCTCTGTGAAAATAACGTGAATCTGATATCCTTTAGTGAAGTCACAACACTGCTCTCAAAGGCGACTTAATAGAATTTGTATACCCTCACCTGCAGCAAAAAGTTTATAACACATTTCATAGGAAAAAAATATTGTAATTTGAATCGTTGAAAAAATGTATGCAACCGAATACTATTCAATATATATTAATAAAGGTTATACCAAAGTCTAAGCAAATAATCCGTACTATAATATTATAAATGCAAAAGTAACTCTGTCTGTCTGTCACGCTTTCACGCCTAAACCACTGAACTGACTTTAATGAAATTTGGTACAAAGATAGAGTTGACCTTGAGAAAGAACATAGGATAGTTTTTATCCCAGACTTTGGAAGGTTCTCTTGGAAACGCGATATAACCGAACTCCACACGGGCGAAACTGCGGGAGGAAAGCTAGTTTCAAAATAAATATTGCTAATGTTGCATATTTTGTTCGAATTAATTGACAGTCGGTTCGCGTGCTGTTGAAAGTGTCGTTACAAAAGTCTCGTATGGAAATGTGCGTTGCCTTGTTGGAGTCATTAATAACAGAAACTGGGTCACGTTTTTAAATCGTTCCCACTATGTATTTATGAGCTAGGTCGGCCTTTATGAAAAATTAACGGATTTAACTCTTTGAACATTCATCTACCTTCAAGTTAAAGTTTATTTCACTAAGCGAAGCTTTAAAGAAAAATATGTTTATTGATCATAATGTTTTTATTAATTTTATCCTATTAATTTTTAGTGAATAAAATCGAGGTTCTGAAAATAAAATTCAAATGTTTTATCAACATCTCTAACGGCGGAGCATTAAATATTTTTGTTAACACGACCATATAATTCTCAGGTCACATTGTCAGAAGTCTCAAACTTCTTTATGAGAAGCTAGTGACTATAATATGTTTAGTAATGTTTTCTTTGTGTATGTTTTCATCTTGCTTATTCAATAGTTAATAACAAGAATAAGGATGTCGTTTGTAGTACCTTGTTTTAAAAATAAATCAATATTACATTAGTTAGTTATTATTTTTTTATCATTTGTTATGCTTCCAACCAATTTCAAGATATTAAATTTTAAATAAAAGTTAATACTACTGTTGAATTAGTATTACAAGTTTAACGATCTTTTCAAAACTATAATATTTGTCTACTTGCAACTTGTTCATGTATTACTTCGGATATAAGTGTCCGTTTGGGTCGAAGGAAATAGAATATTGAAATGAGAAACATTACCGAAACAGCTTACGTCTTTACAAGTTCCACTACAATATTTCACAACAAACAAAAGTCACATTGGCTTAAATATGAATCCGATACACGTGTGTAATATTTTATTGCATAACAATGTTACAAACTCGTGTATTGAGATACGTACGAGTAAATCTTTTATTGTTACGTAAATATATAACTACAATAATATAATATATATATATTGTACTTGATTGAAATTAACAATACTGATAATGTAAATCAGAACTGATATTCAAGACGTGATACAAGCCTAATTGATGTATGAACTAATTGGATACAACATATGCAATTGATATTGATATCATTTTGATATTATAATAAACAATACCAGTATTACAATGACGAGTTTCGGTTGCTATAAATAATAATATACCGTAAAATGATTTAATTTTTTACCAATTCAATATTAATTTAATTGACATACATTGAATTTAGATTGACGTTTTATTTTAAGTTTTTTTTTTCATTTCGACTTTATTTAGCAATACTTTTACAGTGATGTGTTAGTACTTTTATTTTATATGTAATATATATTGGGTTCCCAGCTAAGTCATCGCGGATTTTTATTAGAAAAATAAAGACAATTTTTCTTGGAATTACGTAACTTTATTCAATGAAAACCAGTTTTGGCACTGCCGTTTTTAGTGAGCTAGTGACGCGTTTTTCCCTTTGCAAAAACAAAATAATCCAAAAATGTTCCTTTTCATTTTTCATTTATCAACGAAGGCCAAACGAAAACTACGCAACCGATCAAAAAACTTTTTTACTGATTGATAGCTGTACTGCCAGGTATCAAATAATAAAATATGTTTTACATTCAACTAAAGCCGTCTATGAGTGAAATCCGCAATTACTTAGTTGCCAACCTATTATTTTTAAACCTGTTTTGTATAGATAGTTCATCGAGTGACGGCGTTAACTTCGTCGACGACATTGATAGAACGGTTAAACTGTTAACTGACATCGTAAGCACATGTCTCTAAGAAAACTTGCAAGCGTTGTAACACTTTTTGACTGATGTTTATTATGTGAGAAATATCATATATATTTTGTTGTATAGGTAATAACACCGAGCCGGTGCCTAGTATTGTGTGCAGCCAGTCGTAGCGTCATGGAGTCTTGGGCCAGTGCGTTGCGAGGAGCTTTACATCGTGGTGCAGAAGTCGCGGACCTGGTCGCCAGTCTATCATCAGGAGATCATCACTGGTACGAAAATATATAGGAGTCGATATTTAGAAAATGAAAATAAGTTAGAAATAGTTCAAAGTTAACTCTCCCATGGAATGAGTAATTGTCCATTCTATGAATGTTACTAATTTGTTTATAGGACAGTTTTTTGATTGTTAATATAACATATTAACAATCAAAAAACTATAACATATTAACAATAAAAAAAAACAATCAAAAATCTTACAATATAGATTCAAAGGAATAGAAGTAGTTTACCTTGACAAAATAAAAAGATTTAAAGATTTTTGTTTGCATTTGCAAATATTCTTGTAGATGTAGTAAAAAACTTGGGCAAAAATTATATTATTAGAGTCTCCTTGTTTTTGTAAATGATTTTTACTATGAGTCTGCTATCTTAGTTGTAATGTTGTCCAGGTACGCGGCTACACACGCGAGGCCCACATTCTGTAACGTATGCCGTGAGCCACTCGGTGCTCTGGGAACAGCTCATGCCCTCGCCTGTGAACTGTGCAAATTCAAGGCCCACAAGAGATGTGCAGCGCGGGCACCGCCTTCCTGCAAGTGGAGCACGCTGGCCTCGCTCGGACCACACCTAGTTGAGGATGCTGACGGAGTAAGTTTATTATTTTTCTATGACAAAAGACAAACGAGCAAACGAGCAAACGGCCTACCTGACGGAGGTAATAGCGTCGCCCATGAACATCCGCTAGAGCGTTCTTCGAATGCATTGCCATAAATTATTGGGGAAAGGGGATAGAAAAGGGCAAGAAAGGTTGGGAGAAGGGAAAGGGCAACCGGCTCTCTCACTCATCGGATGAAACGTAGCCATTAAAGACTACTTCACTCCGATCTTCTGTGAGAGAGGTGTAGTTCTCCGGTCGAGCCAGCCCATGTTCGAACAACAGTAATTTGACGACAGCTAGGTTCTACCACCTTGGATAGTTATATGTCTTTATGTATTACCATCATCTATACATCATTAGACTTAGCGATCGGCCATTGCTAAGGTATAAACTAAATATAAACATTTAGAAACCATTCAACTAATTACTTGTGTCATAAAATCCATCGTAATAAATTATTAGTTTTGAAGTACATATTGTTAAACAAAAGCGTTATCTCAGAGACAATAAGACATTCTCAATAGAACCGATCAATTAATAATAACGACTTATAATAAAATGAGTAATCTCAGGGAAGTACATCAAGTGTATTAATTCGTTTTACGACTCAATATCTCTCGTAACTTTCATTTTACGACACTCTCAAGTCTAGTGATGTTTAATGCTTGTCTATTAAAAAAACTATTACTAAATGTTTTATATGACATTGTGTTTAACTAACGGGTGTCCCATCTAGCGTTTCGAATTTGAACTAACGATAATTTGACATTGGAGACGTCAACTGTCATCGGAGAAGTGTCACATATTTAGTAATAAGTCTGACATTTACGAAATGGGTCGCTATTCGCTTGAGGAAAGCTGGGAAATATTAAAAAATTATTTCCAAAGTGGTGAATCGCCAACGCAAACTGTGCGAAATTTGAAAAAAATATTTGCCAAAAAAGATTTGCCATCGGAGGCATATGTGCGGCAATTTGTGAATCGTGTGCGCGAAAACTGGATCACTGTTGGATAAAACAACACGTAAACGTCCATTTCCAGCAAGGTCAACCGAAAACATCGCTGCGGTGGAACAAAGTGTTCGTGAACGGCCATCCACATCGATTCGTCATCGAGCGCAAGAGTTGCACCTTTCTCGGTCAACTACGCACCGAATTTTGCGCAAAGATCTTGCCCTGAAGCCATATAAAGTTCAGTTGGCCCAACAGCTGAAGCCAATTGATCATCCGAAACGTCTACGGTTCGCAAATTGGGCGGAAGATCGTTTGGCCGAAGATGGTGAGTTTTATCGAAAAATCATCTTTTCCGACGAGGCTCATTTTCACCTCGGCGGTTATGTAAATAAACAAAACTGCCGTATATGGGGCACAGAAAACCCGCACGTCGTTGAGGAGAAACCGATACATCCACAACGAGTGACTGTTTGGTGCGGATTTTGGTCCGGCGGCATCATCGGCCCATTTTTTTTTGAAAATGATGAAGGAGCCGCCGTAACCGTCAACGGCGAGCGCTACCGCGCTATGTTAACTGATTGGTTTTTCGGTCAAATGGAAGAGTATGATTTGGACGATATTTGGTTTCAACAGGACGGGGCTACGTGCCATACAGCCCATGCTACGGTCGATGTTTTGCGCCCAATCTTCGAAAATCGCATAATCAGCAAAAATGGTGATGTGAATTGGCCTCCAAGAAGCTGCGATTTAACACCATTGGATTATTACCTTTGGGGAGCGGTCAAAGACGTTTGTTACGCCAACAAGCCAAGCACGATTGATGACTTGAAACATGAAATTGAAGTTGCCATTGCTGCCATAAGGCCGGAAACAATTGAAAATGTACTGAAAAATTGGACTGATCGAATAGGGTACTGCCAAGTAAGCTGTGGTGGACATTTGACCGAGATAATTTTTCACAAATAATGTCATGAATTATGCTTTCAAATAAATGTTTGATCATTGAAATCTATCGAGTCGTTCTTTTTTTATAGCCTTTTTAAATTCGAAATTTTCCGTGAGACACCCTATATAAAACTGACGGTCGTTGATTTGTCCTATACTAGATTTAAGGGAAATATTATTATTTAGTACGAAATTCAAGATAACTTTAAATATTTAATGGTTTTTGTATAGATCGAAAAATTAAAGAAAAAATTTGTTCAAATCATGATTTTGTAATATAAAAATAGTCGTCAAATATCTTTGATTTACACTAAAAAGATCTTCTAAAATGTGAAAAAAAGCGAAGACTGAATAAAACTTACGATGTAAAGTATGTTTTTATACGTATATATATATAAAATAATACGACTGTAGATAATGAATCTGTAAAATGGTTTTAAGTCAGAAACCAAGCGATGTTATTATGATAGACTTTTATTTAAAATATAATCACGTTCAGCTCGACTTGTATTAATGAAATAGGACCACGATTTACGGAATCCGAGTAAAAATTTAATAAACCCCGCGTTTTAGATCCAGCGAATATATATTTTTTATGAAAAGAAATTGGTCACGTACACCGGTGTTATATCACACTAATAAATAATAAATTCACTTTTATAAACGGCCATTAGAAACAGGATCTTGGTCATTTTGTACTCTAATTGTTTTGTTTTGTACTATAGTAGAATTTAAATCTTATTATTATATACATTTTTAGACAATTTATGCATTGTCCATTATTAAACTAAGTAAAAACAAAAACAATTTAGTTTGAGTACGCCGTAATAGTATAGTAGTAATAGAGTACAGTAATACCTCGCTTTACGCGAAGGATACGTTCCGAAGAAAATCGCGTTAACTGAAATTCGCGTATGTCGAGGTTTATGATTAAACACAGTCAAAATTTAATGCACAAATATAAAAATCATTTTAATCAATCATTTTAATTCTAAGAACACTATACGATACATAGGTACTACTATTTTTTACGAAAAAATACATGTATTGTCTTTTGGGTAGCGTTTTGTTTACGTTTTTGTAAAATAAGTTCATAACACCCAACACTGTTTATAATTGTTTGACACAAGTCAAGGCGCGGTCATCATTATTATCTATACTGTGCAATATGTCAAAATCTGAATTTTTTTTTTAAATTCGCGTTATAGTGAAACCGCGTGTATCGGGGTCGCGTTAAGCGGGGTGTTACTGTAATCTATACAAATACATAAAATTGTAGTGTTTGTTTGTAATATTAAAATAACCTTTTTTACCACATGCTTATGAATACGTTACATACACCAAAATAACATTTTTTACATTTTTTGTCTGTCTGTTTGTTTGTTCCGGCTAATCTCTGAAATGGCTGGACTAATTGTGACGGGACTTTTACTGGCAGGTAGCTGATGTAATAAGGAGTAACTTAGGCTACTTTTTATCCCGATCCCGAAATTAAGTATTATAACGCGCGAGTGGGATTCAGGACGTACGCGGCGCTTAAAAGGTTTTTCATTGTTAATTTTTAGACAAGGTCGCGGGTTACAGCTAGTAATATATAAATATAAATAGTAGTAATGAGAACTTTTATTCACAGAACATTATAATGCCTCATCAATGGCTGGAAGGCAATCTACCGGTCGCCGCAAAATGTGACACATGTGAAAAGACTTGCGGTTCTGTGCTCAGGTAAATATATTGTATGTAACTATACTCAGTTTATATAAAAATATTGATTGTGCCATGTATATTTCTGTTTATTTTATTTCAAACGAACCGTAACATAGTACGGTGTAGGACCCATTAGTTTCTATCAGAAACTTTACTAGGCAACTAATATGTAGTATTTTATTGTTAGGAAACCTATTTACACTATTTTGCGAGTTCCAAAATCTAATATATCTTTATCAAACCATTTTCAAGCTCTTCTAAATAGTTTTAGAAATAATTTAGTGTTAAATGCTTTTAAAATTCAAAGCTGGTGAATAATTAAAAACACATTGATAAATATGAAAATACGGTACGAAGAGATCTTCCATTCATTCATCTTTTCTATAGAAATCTCATCTCTATTTTAATTACATTCTTTTTAAGCTGTTTTCCTCGAACATTAATTCCTACTTGATGCTATGTTAATGTTCTACTAAATATACTCGTATATATTATATGTTATCAAGATGAAGTTTTTGTCTAGTTATTAAATGTGTACGCCATGAAATGCCATAAGTGTTAAAACTGTATGTTTTTGTATGGATTCAAATTGAGTATGTATTTGTTTTAATATTTTTGATAGAGCGGTGGTGTAGGCGGTTCTTTGAAAACATGGCTTCATTATATATAGTATTGTGAAAAAAATTGTTTGCGTGACATCGTTTTACATTTTAGTTTGAAGGCATTTTTTTATTGTGCGTTTTAATAAATTTGCTTTATTAATTGGTTTGTGCTCATTTGGTTAATCATAGTTAGAAATCGCAACAAAATTCTCAAATAATAATTCAAAAAAATTATTAAATATTGTTCTACAACTTAGTAGCTTTTAAAAAACTTAACAACCTTTTTATAAATTGATAATGAAATGAGACAATAATCATTTTCTTAAAATACATATACTATGTATGTAAATACTGCCTTATATTTTGATTTTATCTTACATACCGTATATTGAATGTACTCGATAAGAGCACATTAAAGCTAGAATTGGATTCTACTTCACATGTAAGGTATGTGTGTGGCTCGGGCGTGAAACGATCTCCGCTTTAAACTATGCAAATATATCCTACACGGGTACGTCGATATGTAGAAGAGCAGTTAAGGGGTAGCCTATTTACATGTAGAAATTACTTACAGCACTAGATTTGTTCGGGATTTTTTCCTTTAGCTCAACTACACCTTAACTTACAAGTATACATTGTAAAGAAGCCGTTTTGTGTCTCATGATCATCATATCATCAGCCTATTTTAGCCCACTGCTGAACAAAGGCCTCTCTCACTTGAAGAAGGTTTGAGCATTAATCACTACGCTTGCTCAAAACGGGTTAGTGATTTCAAATTTATACATAATTTGAAATTATAAGTCCAGGTTTCCTCACGATGTTTTCCTTCACCGTCTATCAGTGGTGTCTAAATACTCTTTAAAAAGTACATATGACTCGGAAAAATCACATTGGTTTCGAACCCGCGCCCTCATGCACGAGAGGCGGGCCTTTAGCCTGTAGGCCACCACGACCACTTTTTTTTGTGTTCGCTTATACATAAATATGAATCTATTTCATTTATTTTTTCATTTCGCATGTAAATTACTCGTTCAGTTTAAATGACCATTCGACGTGACAGAATTAAAAATTCCGTTGCGAATGTAATATGTGCCGGATTGTATGAAACATTATTCGTTTGTGAACCACGTAAATGTGATTTAGATGAATTTTAAATTAAGTTATTATTTTGTAAATAATATCAGGGTTCTGTTTTAGTTTTATAAATATTATATTAAAGTTTTCGTTTAATGATTAATATAGAAATGGTTTTAATGGTTTACGTAAAAATAAAATACTATATTCTTTGCGTTACGATGTAACTTTTAACCCGTAATTAATTGACGACTATATTGATTTTTTAATTAAAAGCTATACTTTCGTATTTTTTTAGAGTTAACTAACGCACGTCTGTTTAAGAGGTTTACGCAATAAAAAAACAGATATGTACATACAATCTAGGAATAGGTCTAGCTATTCAAGTAACAAACAATATATAGGTACTACAAATATATAGAAATAAAATATTATAAAGCACGTTGGTAATATATTTAATATTATTTATAATCTAAAACATATGCATATACAAGATCAGCTTAAGATGAATACAATACATTGACATGTGATATTTTAACTAAAGATTTATCATAAATTAATGTCTATTACACGTGCCGGTAATACGTAAACAGTAAAGTTAGTCCTAAGTGCGATATGTTGTCGACCTGCTGTGTATTCATGAGCACATCAATAATATTCGATTAGAAACTCTTCATATATCAGCATTTAAAACAGTATTTATTTATCCTGTTTCTCCTATTATAGTTAATAAAAAAAAAAATTCTATCTTTTTATTATCTCATTATTTTCATTCGTTTATATTTACAAGTAAAATCTCGTAATTAAAACGTATTTAGCTTAACAAAACAGTTATGAAGGCGCCTAAACTTAGGGTATAAGGTATATATATATAATCTTCTTCTAACAATGAAAAGAAAGATATTTTCTTCATCATTTTGTTGATGACCTATTCCGCTATACTTTTAATTCAAGTCAGAATTATGTGTTTCTAAATTTTCTATAAAAATATATATAGAGTAGGATTTTACCCCGACCTTTTCTAAATGTCAAATAAAAAAAGTTACGGAATAAAGACGCCAATAGACGGCGGTCCGGAGATGACAGGAAATTGGACGAGAAACCGCGATGGACGGTTCCCTACATAAATATAACATATAGACAAACATACAAGATGGATACTATACTATATACACATATATGTATACAGGATATAATATGGTCATTCATATATTTTGAACAAAACGACATTATATGCGTCAAATGTTTTTATTTCCTTAATCGTTTGAAGCCTATTTGTTTTCGTTTGATAATAATTGTATTATATCAAGTATATAGCTGGTTGTATGAAGTTAGATAATCCTGGTGATTGAAATATCTCTCGAACCAGAAAATGCTTTCTCAGAACACGCGACCTCCCGCTGAACTCATCCTGTAAGGAAGTTTCTATGAATTTATATGTACTCGTATATGTAGTGTATATAACTGCATAATATGGTAGTTAAGTGGATAAAATTAGAATATTTTTAATAAATGTTACCATTTGAAGGACTCAATTATATTTGATCACATTAGGTAAATTATTTGAGAAAATATTTTTATATCATTCAATAGCAGTAGCAGTACGAATGGACTTAAATATGATGAAATCCACCACAGACTACAAGACTTCCGCTGCATCTGGTGTCGCAAATGTGTCCACGCGAGCTGCAGACCTAGCTGGCGAGCTCCTTGCTCCTTAGGACCTGCCCGTGCCTCTGTCGTACCACCGACACGTCTACACTCTGTGGGGCCCGACGATGGTTGGCTGCCAGATAGACCGCCTAACGCCTCGCCGCTCATTGTATTCGTTAACTCTAGATCTGGTGAGTACTCACTTATAATCACCAACCACGGAAACGCTTAAGCCATAACATGGTAGGGTCGTGTAATGAGTATGAATTTTTGTTAAAGGTGACAATCAAGGGGTGAAATTCCTCCGTCGTTTCAAGCAGCTGTTGAACCCAGCCCAGGTATTTGAGCTGAGTGGAGCCGGTCCACGGTTGGGTCTACGTTTGTTCAGACACTTCGCGCCTTTGAGGGTGTTGGTGTGTAGCGGAGATGGTTCTGTAGGGTGGGTGCTGCAAGAAGTGGACAAACTTGACATGCATGTGAGTTTAGACCAGTTTAAATAGAACTCTTTCGTGATTATCTCAAAAAAAAAAATTTCTATTAACATCATGCATATAAGTTAAAATCAGCTCAAATAGAGCTCTGTCGTGATTGTGTCTTCAAAAAATGTTCATTAACGTTTGCTGAGAAATACTCCCCCTAATTACGGAATAATAATCACCACGTTTCTAAAACAATACATCAATAGTACCTTAATTAACGATCTCGTTTCTCTGGTCTTATGTTCAGCGTCAGGTTCAGACGGCTGTACTGCCGTTGGGTACTGGTAACGACCTGGCGCGTGTGTTAGGTTGGGGCGCCTCCTGTGATGATGCAGCCAACCTTCAACAGCTGCTCGAGAGATACGAACGAGCTTCAACCAAGATGCTTGACCGGTTAGTGGAATATCTTTAAAATACTTACAAGTACAAATCTGATTAAGTATGACGTATTAACATGGTATAAACGGATTGATTTTTATGAAAGGAAACTAGCTATAAGAACCATCTTTGATATTTCCGTAGATTATTATGTACTAGACTCTACAGAGTAAAATTTGTTCTGAAATTTCCCTAAAACAAACAAGCCTGTAGCAAAATTTTCTGAAAAAATTACAAAAACTATCACAGTATATCCGACCTCATTATAACAGTGTAATCAATATGAACTTTTTAATTAGCCAAATAATTACATATATTTATTAAAAATTGTGTTTGTTTTGATTCGTATTACGGATATATTTTAATGGAATAAGCCATATATTTGTCAAAGAAACACACGCTAACAACATTATTAATCAACCATTGAATGCTTAATTAATGTTAGTTTAAAGATTTATAAAGAAAACAACCATCGATACTAATTTAAACATTTTAAAGAGCTGATATTGAATTGACAAAGGAGTGTAATTAGAAAATATGTATTTAAAGAAATATTTGCTGGCTTTATACGTCTGTTCGTAAACATATAAAAAACTAAAGATCAAAATATGTATATTTTCCTTTGAACATCATCACTTTATGTTTTGTTAAATTGATAACATCGACTGCAATTTATTAGGGAGTTCTGTAGCTCAGGCTTTGCGGGTGATGGTTTTATGAGGTTATTAAGTTCTACTAAGACTGAAGTCGTCTCTTTAACTTATAGTTACATTTAGTCGTTTATTTTTTAAAGTAACTGACAATCTCCAAACCGACGATTTATTGATGTCCTCAAACAAAACAGCTTAATTGAAATAACTGGACCTACCTCGAGTTAACACCATCACACTGAAAACAGAGCGTTGACAGTTTTTTAGTAACAAATCTTCTTTCATTATTATATAGTACTAGTATTGATCAAATACTAAATGGGTATTGCTTAGGGTGCCTTGTAGAAACATATAGATAGAGATGCTTAGAGAGCTTTAAACTCAGCTGCAAATCAATCTTCCTTTTCCGAAACTGATCTTAAAATTTTGAGAACCAATATTTTAATGACAAAGTTTGAAATAAATATTATTATTCAATCCTTGTCTAAGATTAATTAAATTATATTATACAAAATAAGGAGATTTTAGTTCGAATAATAGATTTTAATGTAATAACAATGGGTCGTGTTTATAATAAAGATTGATGTGCCTTTTTGGGTTAAAAAAATGATATCATAACTAACAGTGTCCTAAAATTAATACATTTTCAAACTTACCACTACTATTCCTAAACATATGCAAATATATCCTAGTAAATAAAGCTAATCTCTCGTCAGATCTCGGAAGTGAATCTGAAATCATTTCAAACGACTGCTCTGGATATTTTAATTTATAACATCTTCAAAGAAATGTAAGATTAAAGCAACTTCATCACTCCTAGAATAAATTATATTCATATAAATTATACAGATTCTTTAATTTAACTTCTAATTACTTATTTCTACTACAATAATGGCGCCTGTTTTGATATATATAAAACTTTTAATTACATAATAATTTTATTTTTATGATATCACGAAAAACAAAGTTTTCCGAAATATAACATTATACAATAAAAGAATAATTTCCTGTTTAACTTATTCTTCGTGACATCGAACTTTTTAATACTCAAAGAACATACCTAATAAAGAAAGTTATAATAGGATTTCGTGTGCTACAAATATTTTAATCAAAATAAAAAAAAAGGTAATTAGTGGAAATTTATTTATGACAGATTTCCTAATACTAGGTATGTATAAACAACTTCTTCTACTGTACTGTAACTAATACACTTATTTTAATGTTGCCATCATTATCACCACAGCTAAGAACATCTCTTACTGACTTCTATATAATATAACGCTCTATGGGCTGTCTGTATAGGAATTGTAATTCTTACCTCCTTTCTATGTCATACGTCCACATGTCGCCGATGCAAGCTGATGTCAAACCTTATAAAAACTACGGACTTGAAAAGCGTAAGCAATTGTATTACCCGTGAAGACAACTCCGGATTTTATCTCTCAATAACTTATTCTGCTTAAAGATATTAAAATGATATCCTTAAAATCTGATAAAGATACCACCAGTTCTGGCATCTTTCATAAAAAAAGGGTTCTTGGAGATTCTCATGGCCTAGTGCAGCTTAACTTTGAATATGATCTTACTTATATCAATACTAGGCCAATTTATTTTTCCGTTGTTATACAATACATTTTAAAAACATCAATGACATAACAAATAGCTACTCGTACAACTGGGCTGTTCATTAACTGAAATTGTATCGCAAAAAAAATATTTTAACGAGCAGTATGTTCTTATTTATTGTCAAAATAATTGTCTATATCTAAAAATTTCTCTGAATCGTCTTCAAGTGAAGGTTAGTTTTCAAACTAATACATTAAAATCAGTGTTCCTTGCATAAATAATGTAATCATAAGAATTTTTGAAGTTTCCAAGTTCAAGTGGTCGGGTATAAGTATTTAGATTATGAAGAACTATCAAATAAAATTGCAACTTTTAAATACGACTACTTTTGATATAGATTCGTCTCAAATTACGCAAATAAACAAATAAAACATACAACTACAATTTTAATATGAATAATATTTTCTGTAGACTTTCGTCACAAATAAAGAGTATACATATATTTGAAATAGATCGTAGAAAAGTATAAACTCCAAATGCCGTATCGGAAGTTCGTATTTCGACTTCTGAGTCTATATAACATATTACACAATATGTTGTCTTCCGAATTACATGGCCCCATAGCCTAACAGTGCATATTATCCATAATCTATTCGGTTATTTCAGGAGCTTTTATTTTACACAGCAGTATATTTATTAGTATGTATAAGAAGCTTTAAATTAATTATTACTTTACGATAGTGAATTCATTTAAATGAAAGTATACTTTCTATTTAAAGCAAACGAATCATCAGTTGTAATTTTTTTTATTTCTAAATAAATGAATTCTATTATTGTCCTTTTTATTAATAAATACGTGTTCAGAGATCGGATCCGTCCTTAATTACCGCTGATTCTTTGTTTCACTCATTCTTTGTTTCACTCATCCTTTTATTAAGTTATCAATGATAACAGCCTTGGCTATTGTTAATCACGATGAATTACGAGAAATCCAATTTATCAATTACTGTTTGATGTTTGATTGTTTCTAACTCGCTGAAGTGGAACCGAACTTGAGTTAAGATGATAAATTAAATTTATTTGTTTGTTAGTTACAGCTGATTTGATAAAAATATAACGAAACTTTGATTGATAAACATTATTTCAATTTACACCCGACACAAATTTACCTATACAGTCCTGGCGTGGTAGAAGATATTTATTTTTACATAAATTATAATATTAACGAATTAGGTTACCAAAACTTTTGTAATTCAATACTAATTACATTTTTAATATGTAATTTCAATGAAATATTAAATAGTACGTGTTGTTTGAGGTCCATCAACTCTTCGGATGACCAAGCCATAAACCGTCTTAATTAATGTAATAGGTAAATTGATATATTATACTGTTACCTTTTAAAATATTTATATTAAAATAATTAATATTATTCCATCTTGACACGTCCTAAAAGATACATTTTGATTGATAACGAGATAACGTCTAAGAATTTCGCGAGTATTCATTTAAATAAAATTACTATATTTCGGTTGTACCATCGCGTTTTTTATTATTTTGAACTACATACAAAACCGTGAACACCGAAACGTCGAGATTTTGCAGTTTAAAAATATAAGAATCGTGTAGTAAATCAGAAAGTGCTAAGACTTTACTAATATTATTTAGATAAAGGATAGACCGATGATGATCCTGCAGTCGCTAATAGTAAGTTTAGAGTTTTGTCCTTATTAAATTATTCAAATATTATATCAATACTTTATTTCCTAACGGGAGATTAAAATTAAAATAAAATGTTTCTTATATTTTTAACTGCTATGGCTTCATTCACACTGGATCAGTGGAATATTTTGACGTTGTTATATTGTATTTTCCATTATTTATTTAATAATAAAGTAAATCAATTGACTTAATATTATTTTTGGTATCAGTTTTTGTCATTCCGTCGATACCATTGTCTTGTCAGATTTTTAAATATGTAACAATAATATTGATGTATTTAAGTTTTATTGATGGAATATAATATTTAAATTACCTTCTCATAAGTATTAATTTATTCTATTCGACAAAAATGCAATTAGATTACAGCGGCAAAAAGTAATTTTACCAAACTTCAAGAATTTCAAAAACTCATTAACAACTTTTATCTTTGAAACCGACCGAATTTGTATAACTCGATTGACATATATTTTTTTAATCTGGTTAAGTAAAGGCTTGTTTATGTACTGAAATAATATCTTATGATTCCGAGGGACTTTATATGAGAACTTTTTTATAATAAATGATAATATTCAATTCGTAGATGGTCTATAATGACGTTTGAACGCGCCCTCTCAGCCCCCCCACCACCGCCGGCGCCACCAGATCTGTTAGAAGAAGGACCTCTACTGAAAAATCTACAAGAAATCGTACAGGTCTTAATATTTTTCATTATTTATACATTCTATATTGTTTAAGGATTGTTCATTTTTGTCATAAGTCTTTATTGTATTCTTCTATTCAGTACGGTGGTTGTCATATACACAAAATATATTATATAACTTGTGCTTTTTAATTGTATCACTTATTTCCACTTTTTATAATGGGAGGAACCGATTTCGGCAATACATTAAACTGAACTAAATTATTTCGTAGACAATAATTTTCCATTTTGAATTGAAATGACATTTGATGGGTAATGAGATCGAATACTTTCGCGAGTATTCATTTAAATGAGACATTACTGTGCATTATTTTATTAATTCAAAACTCCCGAAGTTTCGGTTACTTTCACGATTGCTGCAAAAGTAACCGAAGCGTCGGAAGTATGGAGTTTGAAATAATAAAATAACGCGTTGTAATACGAACATATTCATCATCATCACTATCATCATCATCATAGGATATGGAAAGGCCTTTCTCACACGGAGAAGATTTGAGCGTTAATCACCACGCTAGCTCAAGACGGGTTGGTGATTTCAAACTTACAATTTCAAATTATAACTCCAGGTTTCCTCACGATATTTTCATCAAAACACATTAGTTTCATTCACACTTTATATGTGTATTAATGTATATATTATATATTAACTAGGCTGGTGAGTGTGGTGAGAGTGAGTGTAGTACAGCCCGCGCGTCTCTCAGAGCGGGCTGCGCTAGCCTGGCGGCGGCGGGGGAGCGGGCGGGGGGAGGGGCGGCTCGAGCAGCACACAGACTGAGGAGGGCGCTATCCTTACTGCTGCATGCGAGGACACACCTGGCTCACGATCATGCGAGATGCGAGTAAGTATTCACGGGTTTAAGGGGTTCGTATACACGGAGTTAGGGGTTCGCATGCACGGAGTTAGGGGTTCACATGCACGGAGTTAGGGGTTTGCATGCACGGAGTTAGGGGTTTGAATGTAACATATATGTAAATGAATGTCAATTATCACATATAAATGAATGTCAATAGTTAGTGTGGACTCTGTGTGTTATGCAATAAATGTATATGAGGAGTTAAATTGAACCACCACTGGCTATTATACAAATACACACGGATACATATCATTTAGTGTGGGTTTTATAAATGTACTTAGATGAGGAGTTACATTGGAGTATTAATGGCTAATTTTTGGATATCGAAGTTTAAATTTTTGTATATCGAATTTTGTATAGGGCAATAAATTATGATATTGATTGTTTTATATAAAGTCTATATTATGTATCAGCACGTGGGAACCGATGGACGGGAGTGACAGCGAGCCTGAAGCAGCTGAGAAGGGCATTATAGAGAAGACTGAAAAGGTATCCAGTAGATTTATAAACTTCGATTTTAAAGTGTATTCAATTTTGAGACTTGTGTTATACTAATAAGATCCATTATCCAGGAACAGCTGAACTGGGCAGCTAGGGGCTGTGCGTTGGCAGGACGAGCTGACAGCGTGCGACGAGCCTTGAGGTCACTACTACGAACCCTGGCACAGTTACAACCACCACAGGTACTAATTTGTACAAAAATTTCAAATTACCTATGTATTTTATACCTCAAGGCTAAGATTATATAAACTGAATAAATTTCTTTACTCTTCTTTGATTTTAAAAAGTGAAGTTGTTTAATTTATTTACCATTTTAATAAAGATTCCTATGTATGGTTATTGTTATCTATCAGGCGTCAAGTACGTCAGAGGGCGCTCTACCGGTGCCTCGCGCCTTCGCTGATAGTCGCCGTTCATCTGCCGCTTCTGCTGTCTCCGCCGCCTCAATGCAGCCTGAAAAGTCAGTTTAAATATCGGATTATATAGATAAAACTAAATTTTCTCCTCTTCAAAGTCCTATATTTCAAAGCGATGAATGTTTTAGAAATGCTCATTACATATGTACATAGATAAAATTTCATCTGTCGCTTAGGCTTGGTTACCATTTAGATATTTTTTTTCTTTTCCAGCATTCCAGACGTAGATGAAGACATAGCTAAGTTAATAAGTTCAAATCCACCAGATGTAGACAGCTTGGATATAAACAAACGAGAGCGGAGTAAGACCAGCTCGATCTCACCCTCCCTGCTCTCGTCGTGTGACAACAGCTCGTGCAAGAACCTGTTGAGACCGGACGTGGAGCGTACTAGCGGAACATACAACAGCAGCAGCCTGACTATACCTAATTTAGTCATCTCCGACGATAGTGACAGAAGAGACTCGTTGATACAAGGAGAAACATATGAATCGGACCAACTGACCATTATAGACATCGACAAACCTTACACGGATGACGTACACTTTGATGATATAAACGAGCGGTTGACGCCCGTCAGTGGGGAATGTACACCGGATAGAAAACTATCCTGCGGTGATCTGGATGTAGATGGAACGACGTCAGAAGGATCCAACATCAGTGATGATTTCAGCTTGATATCTGAAATAATAGATACAAAGCCGGAGGACATCGAGGAGGGGACGGGAATAGGACATATAGACTCACCAGAAGCGTCTGAAACATACATGAACTCTGAGACTATTCACGGAGAGTCGATTATGGATGATATTAGTTCGATGTTAGGACAAGAAGTTCTGTTAGCGATGATGGGAAAGAATGGCGAAAACGAAACATACACTGACGATACGACGCTGTTCACCTCAGACACGGTGTCCGATATACCAATGGACAGCAGGAATCCTAGCCTCGAAAAACACAAAGAGGGGAAAATGAAATACATATCCAAAATAAAAAAGCCGATTGATAGTGATGTGGAAAAGTTTGGTTACGAAAACAGAGTGTTTTACATCGAGAACGCAGCTAAAGCAGAGGAACAAGTGAAGTATTGCAGTTTGGCACACTTCGAAGAAGGTAGTGATATCGCGAGGAAATCCTTTCGAAAACAACTACGGAAAAGTGTGAAAAAGAGGGTCGCCGATGAACCTAGTTTAAAACATCTCTTAACTAAGACAGCAGAGGAAGATTCGAAGCAGGGTGGAATCGCTAAAGAAGATAAGAAACCTGAGATAAGACAACAAGTTCCAGCTTTTCCTCAAGTCAGTGTAGTAGTGGAACCGCCTTCACCGTCTCACAGCGAAGACAGGAGTTTGAAGACTTGTCAGAGTCGAATGGCGTCAGTTCTTAGTGACATTTTTGAAGGAACCGATACACTGAGTGTCCATTCCCCAGAACCAACTATTCGGGAGAGAGAAAGACGTCAATCGGATAATCCAAAACTGCTGGCAGATCCTGAATACGGCCAGTTTTTAAGCTGTTCTCCTGCTGCCACGAGACGAATATCATGCGGGAGCCTCTTCAAGCCCGGTGAACCCGATAAGTTAGTGACTAATTTTATTATAAAATATGTAAGACTAATCCTTATTTAACTAACGTTTTCTCATGTAGCAGGTTATCAACATCAGTGTCATCGATTTGGGGGGAGAGTGGGGCCGGAGGTGGCGGAGGAAGTATTACCAAATCGGAATCCAGTGACCGTGCTAAAAAATTACCGATCATCAATCCTTTAGTACAGTTACCTGCCTGGCCGCATGTGACACAAGGATTTATAAGTCAGTGTCTGTTAGCTAACGCGGACGCTCTCTGTGCGGCGGTCAGCCCCTTAATGGACCCGGATGAGACGGTTTTAGAAGGTTTCTATGAGAGAGCCGTTATGAACAACTACTTCGGTATTGGTATAGATGCGAAAATTACTCTCGACTTCCACAACAAAAGGGAAGAACACCCAGAGAAATGTAGATCCAGAGCCAGGAACTATATGTGGTACGGCGTGCTCGGGTCGAAGGAGTGGGTTAACAGAACTTACAGGTACTAATTAATTTTACGAGTTGTATTTATTACTTGATACATATTTTAAAGTTTTATTCCATATCTACAAATATTTTCTTGATTTTCAGACATCTAGGTCAACGTGTTCAACTGGAATGTGACGGCCAGAGAATCCCACTTCCGGAACTGCAGGGTATAGTTGTGCTGAATATACCTTCTTTTATGGGAGGAACAAACTTTTGGGGTGGCACAAGGGGAGATGATTTGTTCCTAGCTCCGTCGTTCGATGATAGAATTCTTGAAGTGAGTATAACAAAAAATATGTGCACATTTGTGTGATAAATCTATAAGATCTGGATTCAGTAAGTATAACGAACTCACTAGGAGTAGGTACGAATTAGTAATGGTAAAGAGAGGTATTACAGCTAAATCTTTCTACAACCTACTAAAAGAGGCAATGCCCTAGGCATGTGTAGAACTAATATCAATTCATTTTTGGGACGTACTCCGAAGGCAGCCCTAGTAGGTTCTTTTCAAATTTGGTTGGGTAGAAAGGAGGTTGGACAGTTGAGCGTTAGATAGTGGCTCCTAAACCTACACCTGGGTCGCAAGTCTCAGAAATTTTTGAAACTCCTTAGTCTGAATGTATTCACCACCCGCACGGTATATCCATTGAATGCTAAATAATTTCATCTCCGTGTGTATAATAGCTCCGATGAAAACATAAAGCCTATTATTTGTAAATATATTTTACTAGTGTCATAACTTCTGTATCAGGTAGTTGCTGTGTTCGGATCTGCTCAGATGGCAGCGTCTCGTCTCATCAATCTTCAGAAGCACCGCATTGCTCAGTGCCGCGCGGTCCAGATCAACATCCTCGGAGACGAGGGCGTGCCTGTACAGGTGGACGGAGAGGCCTGGCTCCAACCGCCTGGCTGTGTGCGCATCATACATAGAAACAGAGCCCAGATGCTGTGTCGATCACGGGCACTTGAGACGAGTCTCAGGTTAGTGTGAAATATATTAATGGGCATTTATACAAAAAAATAGATTGCGTTTTGATACATGTTGCCATATAATTAAGGTATCACTTATACAGTTTCTTTGACAGAACTTGGGATGAGAAGCAACAGCAGAAAGTATCCACGCTGGGCCCGACGAAAGCATTGTCACCGGCAGAGGCCGCTCACCTACTGGTGTTACTGGATGACATCAACACTATCGTTAAACATGTAAGTTTGTTCTAGATACAGTTTCAGACTTGAATGTTCAATGTTATATCAGTGATAATCAACGTATTATAGTATATTATAATTAGAACGGCATAGATATTAAGACGGTTGTCTATCATGATCAGTGAATAATTTCAGTTACTTCTCCAGTACATGTTATTAAATTACTTCGTTTCCAGGTGAAGCTGTCCTGTATAAGTAACGAGGGTGCGGGCGCGTCGCTGTCAGTCGCGCGGCGCGTGTCGTCACAGGCGGACGCGCTACAAGACGCCGACGGACACTTACTGCCCGCGCCGCAACTCAGGCGCATGCTCGCTACTCTGGTGATTGTTGAACTAAATTAAACAAAACAACATATTCCCAACGTTTCGGTTCAAACTCAAATAACTTTATTCAATATAGAAGCATTACACTTATTGATGGTCACTTGAGACTTACTTTGCAGCAACCGTAATCACTTGCAGACGAGATAAGAATATAAAATAATAAGATATTTAAGAAATTACTAGTAGTAAACCGAAAACATCCATTTAATTTAAATGAATACTCGCGAAAGTCTTAAATTTCATTGTGTTTGTTGAACCGCTATCGTATTACTGAGTGTCCACAGATGTTCTATATTTTTTTGAGGAATTAAAAGTATTATATATTTGCCAAACAATTTGTATGTAACATTTATATAATAATACTTTCGTCGACAGGTGGAGAGTTGTCATGAGTTACTAGAGGGCGCGCCTACAGGAGCAGCGGCCGGGGCACTGAGGACGCACCTCACGAGATGCTCCGTGAGGGATGGACTGGCATACATTAATACGGAAGAGGTAAACGAACATACACACGCACACACACACACACACAACACATGTGTGTCTATATAGTATATACACATACAGCACAGATGCAAGAATATGTTCCTTAATCTAGTTGTATTTAATCAGTATAAGTTGACTTTAATTCTATGATGTTACTGATAAAACCAATTATTTCCTTACTCCTACATCCCAGCCAAGTGCGCATACACATAAAGTTAAAAGAAAACAAACATCCATAGACTGTCATTAAATGACTTCATGTAGATTTTATTTTCACACCCTGTACTTCTATATCTGTCTCTATTCTTATCTGTCAAGTATTAATTCCAACATTCCCCGCCCGCCCTAACCATTCTGTCATGTTAGGCTCCAAAGAAAGGCAGTAGATGGCTGCGAGGGAGACGCAGCGTGTCTGAGGGCGGGGCCTCGTCCGGTCAGACTCAGGTCCGGGCCTGGGGCATCAAGGAGGTCCAGGTGTGGCTGGAGTCTCTCGAGCTCGGCGAGTACTGCGAGGCCTTCGCCAAGCATGACGTCACAGGACGCGAGCTGCTATCACTGGCGAGGCGGGACCTGCGGGACCTCGGCGTCACCAAGGTCGGCCACGTCAAGAGGATCCTGCAGGCCGTGAAGGAGCTGCAGTGACGACGACGTGGTCGCTCCGAAGGGAACGGCCACGTGTAACGCGTTATAACTCATCACGGATCTATGGACCAAGCCTGCCTGTAATGTGTATACATTTTTTCTCTTACGATATGATAGTATCGGATGACGAAACGACGTATTTATAAATTTTACCACAACTTTACTTATTGCACCCTCGATTTTTATATTTTTAATGTATCAGTAATTTTTCTTAGTTGGATCTCTCAGACGTTGTTGATAGGTGTAAGCAATAATTCTAGGTTACTCGACGAGGTGAGCTACTTTTCGAATACTACACTACAACTTACTAATACATACAATAGAATATATCTGAGTAGCTGTCAGTTATTTTTCTCCACTTTTCTCGTGGCACATCGAAGTTTCTACCTCTCTCACTCTAAGTTCCTCTGCCAACGAAAATTACATCTCTTCTTGTGTTTCTATCCCTTGTATATAGTTTAACGTGTATATGTATGAACGAGTACGATTTAAAATAAGTATAGCATATATGACGTCACAGAAACTATGAAGGAAACGTGCGCACAGATAATACGGAGTACGGATAGAGCTCTCGTGTAAAGATATAGAGATGAAACGAATTAAATAGGGATCAGTATGGCGAATTTACTAGCTAATTTACCTACTTATATCTTACAGTATATTCACTTAAATATCTTATTAATCTGATATTCAATCTCAAAACGATAATACTGATTGTAGACCTAGAAGTAAGCATTTAAAATACTTTGACAGTACGGAGTTCGACAGACCACAGAGTATTACAATATTAAATATAAAAAAAACATTGAACGTCAGTCGACATTTGAAACATAAAGCAATAAAATATAACGGAATTTTAGATTAAAAGCTTGGAATCTTTTAGATGTTTTGTAAGTATTTAACTCTAGTCCAATACTTAAACTTTCCCATTACGCTTACAGCGGTTCATTTGCTTTCCGAATGACATGCTATCATTTGTATGGCAAATGAATCGAAAAATATTTGATAGTAAATATAGTTGAGACGGTAGATATGTTAGAATTGATAGATATACATAGATTTCTCTGTGATGAGGGATTATACATTTCATTTGTTCTTCGTATTATAGTGGAATCGATTGATAGATGTTTACAATAGAAATAGACTAGGAGTTTACAGATGAATTATTTCTCTTATCAACAGAACGAAACATCTTTAGTATTAGATGGTAAATGAATTATTAACTCGATATGTTCTCTCACATTTTACGTGATATATAATACGTACAATACTTATTCAATCTATCCCATATAATTAATTCTCAAATTAAAAAGAAAAGTAACAAAAAAAATCGTATCTATTGATTCCTTAACTAGCAAATAGTTATACGTTAGTGTTAGGTCGTTTGTATATCTGTTAGATAGTTTAGGAGATTTGTTTCAATATGTTCGGTGTTATAAGACCGTCGTTGATAGTGATTGACAACATTTTAACTATCGAGCGAGCTCCTCCCTTGGATTTATCGATTTTGGTTCATAGTGACCGGTAGACAATCACTCGTAGGTGTCTTAATCGCAATTTAATATTCTAAATATAAATAAGCAATTCGATGACGTTCGATCTATCGTTCTGATGTCATGTAATAAATATTCTTTATATAAAATGTGATCTTTGTATTATATCTAGATATATAGGGACCGCGTTGGATTCATATACTATATATATAATAATAATATTGTAACATTCGGCATTGTAATACAGTACAATGGCTGCGAACAATGTTGCCAGTACATTACGTCTTTCAAACGCCATTTTGTGTACAAGCTTCTCCCATTAACCTTCTAATATGTGATAAATATTCCCTTTGTATGTTTGAAGTCAATTCCGACGCGGTCGCTCTTCCTTAAAGGATCTGCCTTATAGGTGTTTTTATAAATGTACCTCCGAGTTATTTCTATTTATACGTACTCATGCGTGAGTGAGGCGTGCGTCTACAATATTTATATTCTTATATTAGTCGTAACTGTGGATGAGTCGTGTGTGGACTTAATATACTTAGATGTTAAATACTCTCCCGCGCACTGCGGTCATATTGCCTTAGAACTCTAGAACTATTTTAACATATACTACTTTCTTAAAATCGAAATATTAATATAATGGAATTATAGAAAGTGTCATTTTGTTTTTCATCATATCTTCATCTTATTTTCTACTCGTTGATCCGCCGTGTGATTTAAACGTTTAGTAATTTTTAAATATTAAAGATCCTTGAAACGATTTAATATAATTTTTGTAATGATAAGCGTATTTTTACTCATAATATATTGGGTGTTTTATGACTGAATGCGAGACTGTCGTTTCCGTGTTATTTGATTTTTTCTATGGAAATCTAATTTCTTTTTTATGACAACTTACTCGGCTATGATTTTTACAGTATTATTATTCATTTAGCGTTTTGTTTCTACTAAATTAAGTTATCGTATAAATGTTGCCATATCAATTGTCTAAGTAATCTATTCGTGATATTATTATTTATTTTTATATATTTGTAAGTAGCAATAATTTTTATTTTATTATTAGTTCAGTTTGTTATTCGCGTTTCATTAAAAATGTGTTGAAATTGATGTTTATAACTAGTCTATATTTTAAGGCATTGTAAATTATGTCCTGAAAGGTTCAGAAATAACATTTAACAAAATTTTTGGCCTATTTCTTGATATTAAATTTCTAATCGAAATATATTCATCAGTTAAAACGAATAATCATTTTGCCATGTAATATTTTCTTGTGATTTTTGGATACAATTTCTTTGTATAAGTCGTTTTCATTAATTTAATAATTTTAATTTTAGTGCTGCTCAATGCTCAACGTAATATAAGTTTGTGTGTGAGTGGAATATGATGATGTTGTTAATTTATTTATAATTCAGTCACTTTTATTTGATCAGATTTCATGGTTATTAATTATTCGCTAAATAAAGATACCATGTTTTTAAAAATCTATATTTTAATTGTGTAAAATTGGTAATGGAAGACTTAAAGATGTTTTACTTAGTACTTATAGAATAGTTGAAAATTTCATTATTTGAAAGTGTTTATTAATAATATCTGAAATACATAGATTATACTGTCATTACAAAACTGCATTTCCAAAAGAAATAAATATTTTCTTAATTTAAATGATAAGTTTTGAAACAAAACCATGTTGCAAATGTCAATATGCCTCACATTATATATGGAGCGTTAACAGTTTTTCATTAATAAATTATAGTACTACCTACATAGTATTACAATATTATAATACCTATCAACGTACGTTGTTGGAGAAGAAACGGAACATGCTTCATATGTATTGTGTTATTGTAAACTTTGCCGTTTGAAACCTTAAAGGCATAATTAAAAGATAATTATAAAAGTACCTATGTATTTTCGATTATATTAATTTTTTTTTGTTGGAAATGCAGTGAAATTCTTACTGTCTTATGTTTCAAGAAAATATAAAGTTCAATGTTTATCAAATCAAACAAAAATTATACTTTCTTTGACTATTTACATATGTCAAAGTCTTTCAATTTAAAATTTTTCATGACGTATTTTCTTTCATTGAGTCATTGGTTCGTTGGTGACATTTTGAATTTAATAATCATTGTGTATTTTTCTCTCAACGTTTATATTTGGGAATTCAATAAATTATACTGTTACTCATGTTTCCGTGTTTTTATTTCACCCTGGTAGGAAATATCGACTGTTTAATTTACGAGAACTCCTCGAAGCTATTAATTTCTAGTTATATTTATTATGTCCTTGTATCATCAAAATAACAAAAAATCACCGTTATTCCTTTACGAAATTTTAAATATAAATAAATTCTAACATTTTTCATATGGACACATTTAAACACTGCCTACGCTTCTATTAGAGAGTATGGCAACTATAATATTTAAGTAATGTGTGTGTGTGAAAGTCCATATTTGTGTGAGTTAAAACCGAATAGAGTCAACTGTTACTTGGATATGACCGTTTTCATACAAACTCGTTTTTGACAGAAAATATTTGAACATCTCTTTTCAAAGAGTTCCAAAATTTAAGTGTTGTGTGACAAAATTAAAAGTGATTTGAATCCGTAAGTGAAATTTTATTCAACATGTATCTACTACTACCCAGATTAAATATTACCGACATACAATTTCCTTTTTTCACTGTTATTTGGGTCCATAAGAAAACATTAAGAGAATTTTATAAATAATATACCAAAGGATTCAAACAATAAAAAACATGTGTTATCTTAAGACAGCTTTAATTCTTTCCAATGACTGCACTTTTCCCAATAGCTGCATCATCTCCGCTACAGACGGGCCCTCGTCCAGACCGCTAAGGACCGATCTCAGCGACTTCATCAGAACAGGAAACTTAACTTTCTTCTGTTCCGAAAAAACTCTCAAATTTTCCTTTATCAAGTCCTGCTCGAAACGTTCCAAGCCTTGTAGACTTTCAAGCAATCCTTCCAGAAGATTCTTGTTAACTTCTACATCTTTGGATGCGGGGAGAATCCAGAGGAAGCCGAATTTTTTGCCGACTAAATCTCCTATCCTCGATATTCTCGCGGTTGCCCAGTTTAAAACACTTCTGATGTGATCTTCAGAGACATTAAGCTTCTCATTTGGATATTTTTCCATTATAATATCTCTCAGACTGTTAATCATTTCGGTAGCTAGTTTGTCGTCTTTTAATCGTCTCTTTATTTCCAAGCGGTTACATTCTTCTAGTATCTCCAAGTTAAGGCGGCTCGGATGGGACGCGACCTTCTCGATTTGAAACTGTGGAGAGATGATAGCTAAATAAAAGAAGACCCATCTTTTTAGATAGTAAGTTTGTTAAACTCACCTCATCAGACAGTTCTTTAATAGTCTTGAGCCTGACTCCCTCCCCCACCACGTGGTTAAATCCGCCCCCAGATAGTGTTATGTAATTAACTAATGCCAATGGGTATATACCTGGAAATATACATATGTTATAAGATAGAGCCCATAACAATTTTTTTTACCGTACACTAACAAATCGACTAAATATTCATTCATTAATATTCATTATAAGAACTCTTTATAATACATTCTTAATACTACGGACACACTCCAAAAAGACCGTACCCTCGAAAAAAAAGGTATTAAAAAAACATTTTTTTTAAATTATCACCTAATAATCCCAATGATAGAAATGTAACCATCTCAAAGTAATAAATTTAGTAATAAAATCTCATTCGACAAAATATGTAAGTACAATTAAGTTATAAAAAAAAATATTTTTAAAACATTTTGAATAATAAATGCCATGGAATAGCAATAAAAATTTAAGTTCATTCACCCTTGTTCCTGTAATCTTCAACTTTGACATCATTTTGTCTCTTACTGAGTTTAGTTCCGTCAGAATTCACTATCAATGGCAAGTGACCAAACTCAGGAGGTGTCCAACCGAAGGCCCTGGAACGATTGTAATTTCGCTCTTATTCTTCTAAGATAGTTATTTATAAGCACTATTGACGTGTGGTTGATATCAATAGAAACATAATATACAGTTAGATGCAGACTTAGTCTATTGCATCAAATATATCCACAATAGGTGGAAGTTTTTGAACCAATATGTGTTGTTATTAGGAAATATGGTCCACAAATCAATAAACCCATACTATTTTTATAATTTTTTTTTGAGATATTTAATATTGACTGACACAATTTTGAAAAATGTACATTTTTGGGGACCAACTGATGTTGGAGGTGGTATTATTAAAAAAAATATCGAATAGAGAAATAACAAAAATATTTTACTATTTACAAACCAACAAGATGTGTTTGTAACGTCCTTGGACTAAATATTGAAATTATAAAATTAATATCTTTAGTTACAAATTTTCTTAGAAATATATAAAGTACTAACTCAGTTTGGTACCTAACTGTATACTCCAATTTAAGTCAAGAAGTTTTGGCAATCACTAATTACCTTTAACAATATTTTAATCTTTCATAAAAATTACATTTTAATCTTGTGAGGAGTAAGTAGTTTAAATAATAAAGTTCATGTAGTTTCCAGGAAACTTAGTTTCATGTAAATTTATACATGCGAAAATATACATAATGATCTACTCAGTAAGTATTGAGAATGAAATTCAAAATTAATGTTTCATAATAAATAATCATACTTATATATCAATAGATGTTTAGTTGTTGAGATCTGCCACTCAACTCCTCTCAGTACATGCGACACTCCCATCAGATGGTCATCCACAACATTAGCAAAGTGGTACGTCGGGTAGCCATCGGACTTCATAAGCACTGGGTCACCCTCGTTTAAAGATACATCATATGCTATACCTCCAAATATAAGGTCTTCATACGATTGTATATCTGACGACAGCTAATATTATTTTGCTTGTAAAAATATATATAATAGAATAATCAAAAATGAAATAAAATATTTTTTTTACATAACAAGTGCAAAAGAAATATATTAAAAAAAGGAGTTAAATTGTATGTAAAATATACCTTAAATCTAATACAATATGGAATCCCTGCTTTGGTCTTGTCTTTTATATCCTGATGTGATAGATTACGACATTTGTTGTCATACTTTGGTATCCTCTGACTTTTAACAGCATCCCGTCGGAGAATGTTCAGTCTTCTCTCAGTACAGAAACATTTATATGCTGAGCCATTTGCTAGAAGCTTCTTTATATGCTCCCTGAAACAATACATATATATACAAGGTAGGTTTTGTATATCTCTGTAAGATATTTATTATGTTTTTCCTGTTCATATTAACCTACTGGTAAATATCCAATCTTTCACTCTGTATATATGGCCCACAAGTTCCACCTCTGGTAGGACCTTCGTGACATTCAATTCCTGCCCACTCTAAATCACTTATTAAGGCATCAACGGCTCCCTCCACTTTCCTAGTTTGATCTGTGTCTTCTATGCGTAGAATAAAAACACCGCCTCGCGATTTAGCAAATAAATAATTATACAACGCAGTTCTTAAGCCTCCTAAGTGAAGATATCCTGTTGGACTGGGAGCAAACCTGACTCTTGGTACTAATGTGTTCAAATTGCGATAAAAATACCGTTTAGACACGACATAAATACGTCTTGCAGTAAGGGAAAACATTTTTGATTCATACACAAACAAAATAAACCCCACACAGTGTCTACATTACCAATTAATTGAAAACGTAAATAAACAGATATATTTTATTCATATCTCAGACTGTTTCATACACAATCTAGATGTATCCATAAAAAAAAACCTAATAACAACCTTATAAAGTTGAAGTCATAATGAAACACGAACATCATGTCATCATCAGCTGTTTATATGGAAACCATTACATAAATTGGTCAACTTGCCATTCTTTATTACATTTATATTATAATGTAGTAAGCATTAATGTATATAAAAAAAAAATACAGCCTTAAATATTCACTTAATATTATTTTTTTTATTTTTCAGGTTCTCTACTGGATCTCAAGTTGTTATAAAATACCCAAGAATAACGTTATAATATAACTAATGCTTAAATATACAGAGAGTCAAAATATAATACGTATAAAAATATTGGTAAAATTACTGTTACTGATTTTTTGGTAAACACATTTAATCTATTTCGAAAAATATTTTTAATCTTGAGAACGCAAAAATACTCAAATCATTCATACGTACTTATATGACAATTTCTATACGGCATAAAAAATAAAATTGTCTATGATGGTCAGTTTTCATTTTTATTTCTGATGTCGAAACAACAGTGAATTTGGTGAAAGTTATTATATGATATTTTTGAAAATCATTCAAAAATGGTCAGTATTAACATTCGTGGTGCGTTTTGTAGAATAGTTCAAAATGTATATTTGTATAAAATAATCTAATAAGCAAACCAAAATATTTTTGACAGCTCAGCGAAACTAAGGTTATGACATTACTGCGTTTTCTTTTCAGAATAAATTAAAATCATCACAGAGAGAAATAGTTAAGAAGTTCTTAATGTTTACACAAACGAGTGAAAGCACTGCCATATATTGCCTCTCACAGAATGATTGGAAATTGGATCTGGCGAGTGACAACTATTTTCAGAACCCAGATGCCTATTACAAAGGTTCCGTCAAAGCATCGGTAGATAGAAAAAAAGTAGAGCAGTTATTTAACAAATATCGTGATCAGCAAGAGAACGATAAAATCACAGTGGATGGTGTTATGAAATTTCTAGAAGATCTTAATTTAAGCCCTGAATCTATATTAGTTCTTATAATAGCATGGAAATGCAAAGCTGCTGTTCAATGCGAGTTCACTAAGGAAGAATTCATGACGGGGCTCATAGAGCTGGGAGTGGACAGCATAAACAAATTAAAGACTAAATTACCAACATTAGAAGTAGAAATAAAAGATCCAAATAAATTTAAGGATTTCTATCAATTTACATTCAATTACGCCAAAAATCCAGGCCAGAAGGGTTTAGAACTCGACATGGCTATAGCATATTGGAACATTGTGCTCCGCGGAAGATTCAAATTTCTAGATGCGTGGTGTAAATTCTTAACGGTATATTATGATTTATTATAAATACTTTCAAATTACTTACATATGTAGAAACATATTTATGTCTGATTTATAAGTTTCTTAATTATTTTATATAGCTAAATACTAACTTTGACCTTTTCATGTTTTATTAATCTTAAAGTACATACTTTCATTTCAATATGCCTTTTACAATACTACAAAAATAATATATGATGACATGTAGTGATCTTATGTATTATGCTTAACTTTTCAGGATAACCACAAACGCTCAATCCCCAAAGACACATGGAACCTTCTTTTAGATTTTGCCACACAGATTGATGATGGTATGAGCAATTACGATGCCGAGGGAGCCTGGCCAGTTCTCATTGACGATTTTGTAGAGTGGTGCCAGAAACAAGAGCTGACGGCCGATGGGGTCAAGTCTTTAGAGCCGGCGTCCGGCTAGCTGATGCTGAACAGCTTCCAGTATGAAGCGAGTGTACAAAAAGTTTGTACAAAAACTGATAAACCCGAGGAAAGTGTTTTCAAACAGTTGCAGTTGATTTTTTATTTAATTTTGGCTCGCTTTTTACTTTTCATCCTGGATCTGTGCACCGGGGAGGGTTTAGCTATCCTTATTATTTACTATTTTTGTAGATGACTAAATTAAGAATGTTTGTTTTTGTATGTGTACAACAAATGAACATTTTGTTCAACGAATTACATGTTAACAGAAAGTTTATCACAAAGATATGATTCTCGTCCGTTAGTATAATATACTTTAGGCGACCTGTTTCCTAATGGTGTGTAGTAAAAAATAATTTGAATTCAATATTTGCATTGAAAATGTAGGGTAAATTGAAATATTTGATTTTAGAATTCTTAAATCAGATTTAATACTTGCGTTATAGCATACTAATCTGTGAAAGTATAAAATTAAGATGTAAATATGTATATACATGTTAATGATATTATTTTTTTTATTTTTATTAAACCCTAGATCTCTTCCTGTTTCTTTTTGTCACCAATTGTTAACTGTTTTCAACCTTATTATAATGATCAGAGATGCAAAAAGGATACACAACTCACGGTTGGTAAATAATGCAGCATGGTTCAGAAATGTTAGCATATTTTATCCAATTAAAGAGTGTCAGTTGATTGTATTTGTCGATTTAACAAATATTTATGTATAAATTAATAAGTTTGGGACTAACAGTGCCTCAATAACTACAGATTGTGTTACAATTATAATGTTAACTGTGATTGTCATTTTAATAAATTATTTATATTAAATTTAACTATAACTAGTTCATGTTGATGTAGATTGACAGCGACTTTATTTACTCTCTGATTAGTTAACAATAGTTGCGTGACAATGTTAGTCGCGGATATCGAAATATTTAAAACAAATTTGGTAAACTATCAGTATAAGTTTTATGAGGAAATTTCTAATATTTTAGCTGAAATTGTTACTTCTGTGGTTAAATTGAAATATTGAAACTTGATTGTTTGGTACTTAGATTTATTGTACAAAAGATAAAATTAATGTATCGAGTATTATAACTAAAAATAAATTGTTGATTAAATTGACTTTTGATACACAGTAACCCAGTAGAGACATCTCGTTTGTTGTACGAGTATCATCCACGCAATAATGTTTTCTACCGTCGTACCTTGGAAGACGTGTAGTGCTGATGAGAAATGTTTTATGTCACAAACTTTTGAAATTTAAAAATCTTAATGTGAAGATTTATCCCTCAGAAGTAAAGACCATAACTAAAATATATAACTGGAATTATTCATAAAGCATTTGAATTAAACCAATTTATTCCTACAGCGAGCCTTTTTAAGTTAGGAGGATAAAATCTTAAAAAATCATTGTCTATGGTCGCCAGCTGTCCTTAGGCGCCTCTTAAGTCTGTTTACTCCGTTTACTTACTACTACCTTGTACTAACTTGCTTGGCTTTAGGTGAAGCAAGAAATGATGAGGCGGAAACGCAAACCCCTCACTTTCCGTCTGACGCAGGTCTTAACCGGGCACGGGTGCTTTGGTTACTACCTGTGTCGGACGGCCAGGAGAGAGCCGGGAGAAGGCTGCCATGAGTGCGGCGCTGCGGTGGACTCGGCCCAGCACACCCTCGAGGTGTGCCCGAGATGGGCTGCGCAGCGCCAAGACCTTGTGGCGGCTCTCGGCGGAGTGGACCTGTCGCTTTCGAGTGTCGTGGAGAAGATGCTCGAGAGTGATGGGTCCTGGTTGGCGGTGTCCTCCTTCTGTGAGACGGTCATGTCCACGAAGGAGGCATCTCAGCGGGAAAGGGAGAGGGCGGCTGATGCTCCCTCCCCCCGCAGGCGACGTACGGGGGTGCGACGGAGGCAATTCTTACGCCTCCAATAGCACCCCTGTGTTCCGGGCTGGGGTCGGCGTGGTAACCCGGCCCTTTTGAAAGCCTGGCGTCGTCGGGGTGGTCCTAATTGCCGGGATCGCCCCCATTCTCCGAGGGAGTAAGTCCGGTCTTTGCCAGGACCGGCCAGTCGCTGGTGTGCCCTGTCGCTGACAGATCCGGGGTACACCGACATAGCGGCCGATGGCTTTCGCAGTGGTTTTAGTGAGTAGGGGCCTGCCCAGGCCGAGCCTCACACATCCCTTCCGGCCCCACCAAGGCCGGTTGGACGGCTCGTAAAAAGAGTTTCCACTACGTCATCAAAAAAAAAAAAAAAAAAGGTGAAGCAAGAAATATGAAAAAACGGTATGCTGCGATACCCTTGATGTGCGAGGACTACTTTGAACTCTTGGACAACAGGATATAGTCCACAATAGTGCTTCTTGGATGATGAAAATATAAAAGACTTCCATGTAGGACAATTTATCTCATTTAGAAGAATATTATTAGCATATTTTTAATATGAAACCTCACTAGTAATAGGTTTCATAAGTCCTATTTTTGAGCAAGGATCTCCCCTCCCCCCATCTTTACAGGGTTCGTGACTGTTAATAAACCGTCCAGGTCAACTTGATGCTAACTTTTCGTTCGTCCCACATATCTATGTTTATCTTAGCCGAAGATTTGTTAAGTAAGCTTCAGGTAAATTAACGAGTATGTCCAACCAAGTCTCACTTTAGTTCATCCTAAGTTGGTAAACCTTTAAGCACGACTTCCTACTTTTCCCAAAGCGCCCTACGCATTTTAGGTACGTATTGTGACCAGTTTATCCTTGTCTGCACTATAAAAAGACTATATGGCAAAAGTAAATCTACTCTTAGGCGTAAATTATCGCCAATCGCGCCGGTTGCTAGTAGTGAATGGACATAAGTTTGACATGCATATTATTTATCTCCAATTCCAGCTCAAGCACTGCATTGCTAAAGTGTTGTAGCTTAATTTATCAATCTGGTGCTGAGAAAACAAAAAGCTTAATATCATCAGCGAATAGCAGATCGGTCATACGTTCCTCTGTGACAAAGGTACCGTTACCTTTTAAACCTGCTGTGAGCATTAACAAATTATCCTCGAGAACGCTATAGTGAACAGTTCAGGAATACGGAATCATACGCTATGTATGTAGCGGATGCTCGATTGTATCAGTTGATATTAGGAGGGAAAAAGATGTCATACAGCAACGGTGGCAGTGAATCTTCAGGTCAATAGGTTCGCTGTTCATCTATTTACAAAAAAAAACTAGACAAGCACTCTGGGTTCTTAGTCCAAACCACTTCACTAAACGATCATAACAAGTTAACTCATTTAGAATTAAAAAAAAATCAAGTCTCAATAAACAATATTCACTTTGTTGTCAAGATGTTTGTTTAATAAAAAATCATCAAAAAAACTGCCTTCGGAGTTATAATACATGTTGTAAGTACTAAAAATGTTTAGACATTATGTTTCAAAAGATACTTTTTGTTGACCTTACGTAATATTTAAAATCAATTAGTGTGCTTTGGTAAAGTTGATAAGTAAAATTAGTTATTTGGAACTACGTATAACCTTGACTTTTTTTCGATATCTTGTTGTAATATTCAAAAGACTTAGGTTTATTTATATATTTTTAGAAATAAATAACTGATGCAAAAAACGATACGACACAGACGGCGAAAAAGACATATTTTCGATTTTAGGTACTTAACCTCATCGATCGATCTTGAAATAAGAAATATACATCTCGAACACATTATTTTCAAATACTTCAGGTTTTCCGCCATTCAATATACAATATTTCTATCTCCGTCTTTACAGTTTACAATAAAGCAGAATGAATGATATCAAGATTATCTCCAAAATTACAGATGATACAATTTCGGTTTTAAAAAATTATCCCTATGAAAAATAAATATTGTAAAAAAATATATAGGAAGATAATGGGACTAAAGTTCTTATACGAACTCTATGCTTTAATTTGCACAAGAAAGTCAGCTGTACATATGTCACTGTCAACTAAATATTATTCTCAATAACGTTGTTGTGTGTTGTTGATCTCAACTTTAATTGAACATAATTTTCAGTACAAGCAACGAAAATAATCAATAATGGCTGTTCGTTTCGCCGGTGCTCTGAAGGAGCTTAGAATTCACTTATGTCAAACTAACCAACAATCCGCTGGTGTTAGGTACGTTTGATTACATAAACGATATTTTAACCTTATTATTATAAAAATAAAACAATTTTTAATTCTATCAAGTTCTACATATGTGTAAACTGTTTTATATTGAACAAAAATTTAATTATTGTATTTATAAATTTACAGAGACTTCATCCAAAAATACTATGTGGGTTTAAAGAAAGAAAATCCTAAGTTCCCTATACTGATCCGCGAATGTAGTGGTGTTCAACCTCGCGTCTGGGCTCGCTATGGTAATATTGTTTTTTCTGATTTCTTTTTACGATTTTCAATAATTTTCTGTTCTATGAAGACTCGAAATAAATATATAAGAAAATCTTTACCAGAATTAGTAATATTTAATTTACCTAAACTAATTTCAGACAAGGGGGTTGAAATGAGTGAATCACTTAGTGATTACAATTCCGACCAAGTGTTGCAAATTATTCAAAAACTTAACTCAGTGTAATGTGTCCTTAATATTTTAGTAGTATTATTTCTTTTAGTTATTATTTTTTAATTTCTTAGCCAAAAATTTGTTGGATAATTTTTTTTATGATGCCTTACAAAATATATTTATATATATTATATTTAATAGATCTATTGTAGCAGAATAACAATTTATTTCTTACTTTATATTTTCTTTTTAAAGGCATTTTGTTTTGTTTACATTATGTACCATGATAATTTAGTTATACACCAATTATAAGTCCTATTTTTTTTTCAGACCGAGGTTCTGAAAAGAGTGCATCTTTGACAAACCTATCTTCAAATGATGTACTATCCACCATTAAGCAACTAGTGAAGTGAATAAACAAATTTATTGTTATAGCATAGAAATATTATTTAAATAAATAAAAAAAGCACTTTATTCCAATATTTTATTGTACAATTCAAAATGACTACCAACATCAACTAGAAAAGTAGCTAAATAAATTAATTTGTAAATGTGTATTTTATAAAATTACTCTTATGCCTAAATTAGTAAAAGTTATACAAAAATACACAATTTACCACAGACTAAAATTATGCTGGGCTAATACGAACTACTTGGGTATGGCAAATGCCTACCTATTATAAAATTCCTATTTCATTTGTAGTATTTATTGCTACCGCTATACAACATTAGTTCAAGATATTATGACAGAGATACTAACAATATAACAGATATGTAATTTATTTTTCACTTAAAAAACCAAATTCAACAATCTATTGTCCATTCTCTATATTTAAATACAATGACTACCATCTGGTTGTAACTACAAATTTTCAGTAACTACTTTTTTTAAAATAATATCACTGAAATGGCGGTAGACCAAACATTTCTGGTTGGAACTTTGCTAAAGTAGGCAGAACTATAGTAGCGTGGGTCGTCAGTCTTTTGTCCAAGTGAGGATCTGGTACCATGACCACTTGCATGCCTGCCTTAACTCCCGCTGTGACCCCATGAGGAGAATCTTCAAATACTAAACACTAGAAACAAACGAAAATCATCACTACAGTCATTATTTATGAGATTTGAATAGTATAAGTCACAATTTTATTGAAAAATAGTTTTTAGGCTTTGTTTGGCTATGTCAATGATGATCTAGCCATATAATGTAACCACAATAACTTAAAAGAGGTTTATCTACTAAAGATATGAGAAAATTATCCTTAATTTGTGATAAAAATATAATGAAATTGTGATATAACTATTACCTTTTCCGGTTTCGGCTTGTCGGGGAAACGTGATGCAGCAACAAGGAATATATCAGGATGGGGTTTGCCAAATTTGACTTCCTTATCTGTACTGCCCATAACCATGTGATTGAAGTAGCTGAAGAGTTCCTTATATGGAGCTATTTTAGTCTTTACCGATCTTTCACTGGATGATGTTGCTAAAGCAAACGGCACTTTTGTGTTATGAAGATGGCATATCAATCTTTCGGCACCTGAAAAATTAAGTGTTAAGATGTAATATTATGTTCACCCATGTTTTTGAGAGTAAATAGTATTTTATCAGCTTTTAAAAGACAAACCATCTAACATTGGAGTTCCCGCCAGCATTTTATCTCCCATTTCTAACAACTCGTCACGAAATTCTTTAGGAGTTACGGGCAAATTTAAATCCTTGCATAGTATTTCCGACAACCTCTGCTCAGTTCCTCCTAAAACTTTCATCATTAATTCCTCTGTATATACATGTCCGTACTTAGCACAAAGTTGTGTTATCATCTTCTTATAAACTTGCTCGGTGTCTGAAAACACAAGTCATCAATGTCGTAGTGCGTTACAAATAATAGAAATTTACATAACATCAGCTATTTATATTAATAACTAACAAACGTCTCATTTTATTCCCACCTAAAAGTAAACCGTCCATGTCGAAGATGCAATGCGTAACTTTTTTCACATTTCTTGTAGAATAACATTGTTTTCTAAGAGAATTCGACAAAGTTTTTAATAAAAATATCCTCATTATGAAGCCGGTAGGTTAACTTTAGTATTTGTCAAACATTAAAAGTATGAATTATTATAAAATTTATTTTTTTTATCAATAAAACTTGTTATGTAGTATTTGTTATTATATAACTTTACTTGCTAAAATACGTAAATATAAACACTAACTACCTAACTAGCCCTCTACTTGCCAATTGATTATTGATCAAATAAAAACTGAAACTTCTATTTGACATTCGAAACTTTGACGTTTTAATATGTATTACTAAAATAAATTGCGTTTTTATAAATATACAAAATTCTTCCTTCTCTTTCTTTCTTACATAATTTCTATTCGAGTATGAAGAGGATGGTAAATAGTATTGCTACTTTTTATAATCCACCGTTTCCCTATGTAAAAGAATAAATAGGTACAAATTTTAAGTACAATTTTAATTCACATGCGTGTGTTCAGCTGAAAGTGTTTTAAACAGTATCCATAATTAATTGTTGCGAGTTTGCTGGCAACAATGACATAAGCAGATCTCTCGCTTTTAGCGCACTTCATTCGACGCAGTCTTGCTGCGGCCGTCATGGAACGCAGTTGAATCGTCGTTAGTCGCTTTTATGGCGAATAAACTGTTCAAAGTTCCAATCAAAATATTTTATTTTCACTTTAATTTATAAAACATTTAGTGGCTTAGAATAATCTTCAATAACTTTTAATTACAAAATTATACCGCGAACATGGCTGTGAACGTGTGTTTTTGTGTAAAACTGTCGCCTAACAAAAAATCGATTTTTGGATTGAGAATGAGCACCCAAATCCTTTATTTGGTATTGTTTGCCGGTTTCTTGGCGGCCAAGGCTGCTGCAGACACAGATGCGACCTGTGCTGATGTGAAAAATATTTTTGAAAAGAAAGGAATGTTGTTAATGATCGATCTTCAAGAAAAGCCAAATTCAGGTAAGAATAACACGCTCTATTTACACATTTATAACAAGATAGTAATAAATGATAATAATTTATCGGATCGTACACTTCAAAAATAATAATAAAAGTCATAGTGATAGTACGGTGTTAGCCACTGATTTGTAAATTTTCAAATAAAACATCTTATTTTTTTATTTTGATTTTGATTAAAATATTTATTGAAGCATTTTTTACTTATCAGTAATTTTTGTATGCATCTTGTTAGTAGTCAGAAATCATCAAAGATACAACAAAACAATAGTTATTAGTGTGATTTAAAACGAGTATTGTATTAATACAATAATAATACAGTCTCAGGTAAATACCTTTTACAGCGGTCAGAGATTACTGAAGTATGTGTTAAAAACAAAATCTTTGTAACGAAAACAGCATTCGTCAAATTCAATTAGTATATCAAGAAAAAATATTCATTATAATTATCATGGTAAACTTATATATTAATATTTTACAATAAATAAAGTTCGATGCAACCAAACAGTTTGACGGCAAGGTGTAGTAGCTATTGTTTTCATACAAATTATAGGACCCCCGCCGTTAAAGAAACGCCACACTTTACCTGTCCGTGAAGCATGTTGAGACAAGAAGTTTTAATATCTTGAAACCTTTTAATAATACCACGACATTTTAAATAATGGAGCTTTAAATATCAATTTCGTGAAATTCTCTGTCAACGGTAATTGTTTAATAATAATATTTAAAATTCGAATCAGTATGTAAACTTTTTTTTGTTTTTAACAATTTAATGAGTTTTTAAAAATGGAATGCCTACAATGATTCCGACTTTGGCGTAATAAGTAATAGTTAAATGTTTATTGAACGTGGGTGTTGAATTTGACGCGTGGGCATATTATGAAACTGTCGATGGCAACAGAAAACGCCCGATGCTTCTGCGAAATATAATAAAATGCATTAACTCGATGCGTTTTATCTCAAAGTCGAGTCGAATTAAGCTGTACGTAAACTGGAGTCGGCTTTAAACAGGTAATGTTGTGTGGGCCGAAGACGCTCACGTATTTTAGTGAGAGCTGTAAAATTTTATCAAATATGTAGTAGCAGTTGATGATGAAGGCTAGCTTTCTGGTTTAATGTATTATAGTTTGACAAACATAAAGTTGATTTATAGCTAAAGGAAGTTGTAAATCACTGGACCCGAGCTAGGTTTATTTGGTTTTGCAGCTGAATAACTACTTGTGTCCGAATTTATATTAGTCGGTTTTAAACAACAGATACATAAATTACGATTATGAATTATGATATAGTGTGTAGCCGCGACTTCGACCGTCTTGTCAACTGTTATTACTGTGAATAGTACAAGACAACGCATATACTTAACTGAAAATCTTTACGCACACTCGGTAAATAGCATTTTAATAAAAATATTTTTCTTTTAAGTTAAACTATTGTATATGGTTTTTACTGGGGAAATAGTGTCCAAGGAATATTAATTAAAATAATATATAATTTTATTTGTATTCAATTTATTAATTTTGCAACTCTGAACAACTGTATAGACCATCCCGTAATTATATATAGGGTGTATTTCAATCGCCACCTACAGCGTGTTGAAGATTTAGTCAGATCCTGTTTCAACAAGGTGTATTAAGAAGGTTAAAGCCTCAGTAATCATCAACTTACTATGTAAACTACCATATTATAAATCTGAACAAACGAGACAAGAAAATAAGGTTTTAATATTTACTAGCTTTCCTCCCGCAACTTCGCCCGCGTGGAGTTCGGTTATATCGCGTTTCCAAGAGAACCTTTCAAAAGTCTGGGATAAAAACTATCCTGTGTTCTTTCTCAAGGTCAACTCGATCTCTGTACCAAATTTCATTAAAATCAGTTCAGTGGTTTAGGCGTGAAAGCGTAACAGACAGACAGAGTTACTGTCGCATTTATAATAGTAGGGATTGTTTTCAACCTCGCTAGGATTAGTTAGTTATTTTAAATATGGTAAAACAGAAACGCGTGTGACAGAATGACATTTAGACTTATTTTTTTATAATGATTTGCTTATAATGATCTGTTTGCCTGTCCAATGTTTCCAGTACATTGCATACACCATCAACCATTTTTCATTAAATAACTTGCGAAGATTTAAGAATAAAATACTTTTAACGCTACGTAAGTAGTGTTAGGACTACAACTTAGTATAATGCAGATGAGTTTATGAATTTAATTGATATATTATTAATATTGTTTTAAACTTATCTTGTCATATATGTCATGTATGTGGCACCGCTGAGCCGTCTTGCATGTTCTTCTAATTAGTATTCAATAGTCGATCGTTTACTAACTGGCGTCCGTGTGCAAAAAAACATTATATTCCCTATATTATGTGTGACACGTCAAAGGAAAAGGATATATTTGACGGTTAGCGTTATTATAATATCCGGATATATGATTCAATGCATACATTAATTTTGTATATAGCTATTTAACTTGTTTAAGGATTTTCAAAATCGTTTACATTTAAAACCGGTTAACATCAAACTAGATTTTTTGAATATCTTACAAATTTTTATTTAATTATGCAAATTAATAAATCGAAAATCGTTTAGAGCTTAATGAATTTCGCTCACCGGTTGTTACGTTGTTTTTTTCATACTAAAATATATTATGTATAAAATAACTGTGCCTTAATTTGTAAGTAATAAAAATATTCTGAGCCGACTGCGCCTTAATTTCAGATATTTAAAAGAAAATGAAATAACTGTGCCTTAAGTTTAAAAAATTTTTGGATAGCCTGTGGCTTAACCTGAGATATATTTAAAAAAAAATGAAATAACTGGGCCTTAAGTTAAAAGAAATTTTGGATAGCCTGTGCCTTAAGCTGAGAGTATTTAAAAAAAAAATGAAATAACTGTGCCTTAAGTTTAAAAAAACTTTTGAATTGCCTGTGCCTTAAGCCGAGAGTATTTTAAATTGTTATCGTGAAGTGAATGAAATCTTGATATAATCAATTTACTTAGTGCGCGCCTTCAAATATAGGGATGCACTTATCACGAGGGATATATCCTGTTGGTATAATTTTTTGAACTCTCTATCTATCATGTCGCAGGTACATCTATAGATAACGAACGCCCACGCCGGGAAACAAAACTTGATTTAAGACGAAACGACTCCTGACCATCGCTTTATTTATATACTTGACGTTTTTTAAGTTTATTAATAGAAATTATATGACAGCCTATTTCATTTATATTTATACTTAACACATTTTATAACTTCGATTGGCAGCACTGTTTTATATTTCCTCAGCTAATATAATCAATGAATAATATAAGAATATTTTTGTATTGTTTATCTTTAGGTTGGCAGTATTTTTTCATATATAATCAAATTGTCAAAGAAGTATATTTCATTTGTCAAGTCCGGCCAAGTAAACAGAGAGTTCGTCGACCTGTTAGTTAAACTTCCACGTGATATAGTTATTACCGATTCAACTTACCTGCCGGGAAAGTTACTGCATTCATGCTATTTACATGCACTGCAAATACCTGTCCTCGTGATACGCGCTTCGGGATTTATTTATTTTTTAATTTGAACGAGACCATTATATTAAAATAAATGGCCAGTGTTGAATATGGAATTCCATCGACCAAAAAGTATTTATTATCCGCGCTTTCACATGAACCCTTTCAATCAAATTAACTGAATGGGACTCCATCACTCACAGGCCTTTATGAGTTGGTAACGTAACCTCTTATTCTGTAATTAGGCCCTTAGATTCTTCTGGAAACAGGATGCTTCGTTGGCTGTTTCTTATTTTATTTTTTTGTATTGGCAACATTACTAATATAACTGTGGGAATATTTCGTACAATATTATTAGCTGTATGTTTTTAACGCTTTTTTTGTATTTTCACAATGCACTTGTTTCTCGGGTCGTAAACAGGAGTGTATTAATATTTATTGTTGCCATCCTCTCGGAGGTCGCGCCTCGTCTGACGCAAGCCTTCAATATGCGAAATATGTCCGTCGGGCCCTAACAATATAACATACACTATATAATAAAATATATTTAGTTGGAAATAAATGAAAAATGCTATTAAAAATGTATAAAAGTCGAGGACATTCCGTGGGTGCAGGCCGTGCAGGTGGCCACAACCGGTATAGCGGAGCCGCTCTCAATCTTTGTGCTATCCTTTACGTGGATTTTGCATAATGAACATGTTTATATTAAAATCTTAAAACCGCCTTTTTAATTGCATTCTCTAAATTTAAAATTGTTTGACGTACATATTTTTTGATTTTCGAATGTTATGTCAGCTGCGAACATAAAGCCGCATTCAGTAACATTGATTCGAAAATCGAACACAAAAAAAAAGGAATAAAATTTAAATTTGGAATGTTTTGGTAACCAAAGTTGTTTGTAATACAAACATGTATAACTTCTGCATGAATTATAATGGCAGGGATGTTATAGTGTCAACGGACCCGTATTATTATTATGTGAAAATGTACAAGTATCGATTGCATATGGACGCGTGAACACATACACGACATTATACAACGAATTATATTAAATATTTTTTGCTTTATCACAATTTGTAAGTGTAGTGAATTGTTAATTAAAGATAATAATATGTAACCTGATACAATGGAACTCGTTAAGTATGACTTTTTTTGTATCTTTTGTGTATGCAGAATCTGAATAATTGAGCCACTAACGAACTGACTTGAAATCGAGTTATTATTGAGATTTAATATTTACTATTTAATACAAAAAGTATGTTTTTTATTAACTTTATGAGTTTTTTCATCACAGTCTACATGTTTTTACTGTAATCTTATAATGTTTTATTTTTTAATATTATCTGAATGCTCAAGAATAGAATGAAGCTTATACTATTGATATTAAAACCCGTATAATAACGTTTAGTAGTTGTTCACATGACTTAGCGGAAGTCATGTGTAATTCTATCAAGCAATATTATTTTTATGCATTGAAAATTGGTTTCCTATAGAAAG